CTGCCCGCAAGTCGTCAGCGCCTCTGCCCCGCCCTCGCCCTACCCCGTCCTGCTACTCCCGACCCTCTGCCGCTCGCATTGCGATTAGACTTCTAAACCCTTGCCTGCCTGTCTTGCTGCCTGCCCGCGCCCCTCTTGCCTGCCTGCCTGCCTGCGACCCTCTTGCCTGCCTGCCTGCGCCCCTCTTGCCTGCCTGCCTGTTTGCCTGTCTTGGTCTGCCTCTGGCTACCGTCGCTACTCACATGCAAGACCCGTCGGCTCCTCGGCACCGGCCGTGCCCGCTGCAGTTGCCGTCTACCGTACAGCCCGCCTCGCAGCTCGCCCCGTACTGGTCCTCCCGGCAAGGCGAGCAGGTCCGGCCTCCGAAGCCTCCCTTGCACTCGCACCTCCCCTCCCGACACTCTCCCCGCTCCTCCCCGCCGCAGTCTGCCGCGCTGCTGCAGTAGCCTCCCGGCCTGCCTACCTCGCTGGTCTCGATGGAGCAGTTATGGCCCGTGTATCCCGTAGCGCATCTGCCCGCAAGTCGTCAGCGCCTCTGCCCCGCCCTCGCCCTACCCCGTCCTGCTACTCCCGACCCTCTGCCGCTCGCTTGCTCCTGACTTTGCGCAGCCTTGCCTGCCTGTCTTGCTGCCTGCCCGCGCCCCTCTTGCCTGCCTGCCTGCCTGCCTGCCTGTCTTGGTCTGCCTCTGGCTACCGTCGCTACTCACATGCAAGACCCGTCGGCTCCTCGGCACCGGCCGTGCCCGCTGCAGTTGCCGTCTACCGTACAGCCCGCCTCGCAGCTCGCCCCGTACTGGTCCTCCCGGCAAGGCGAGCAGGTCCGGCCTCCGAAGCCTCCCTTGCACTCGCACCTCCCCTCCCGACACTCTCCCCGCTCCTCCCCGCCGCAGTCTGCCGCGCTGCTGCAGTAGCCTCCCGGCCTGCCTACCTCGCTGGTCTCGATGGAGCAGTTATGGCCCGTGTATCCCGTAGCGCATCTGCCCGCAAGTCGTCAGCGCCTCTGCCCCGCCCTCGCCCTACCCCGTCCTGCTACTCCCGACCCTCTGCCGCTCGCTTGCTCCTGACTTTGCGCAGCCTTGCCTGCCTGTCTTGCTGCCTGCCTGCGCCCCTCTTGCCTGCCTGCCTGCCTGCCTGCCTGCCTGCCTGCCTGCCTGCCTGCCTGTCTTGGTCTGCCTCTGGCTACCGTCGCTACTCACATGCAAGACCCGTCGGCTCCTTGGCACCGGCCGTGCCCGCTGCAGTTGCCGTCTACCGTACAGCCCGCCTCGCAGCTCGCCCCGTACTGGTCCTCCCGGCAAGGCGAGCAGGTCCGGCCTCCGAAGCCTCCCTTGCACTCGCACCTCCCCTCCCGACACTCTCCCCGCTCCTCCCCGCCGCAGTCTGCCGCGCTGCTGCAGTAGCCTCCCGGCCTGCCTACCTCGCTGGTCTCGATGGAGCAGTTATGGCCCGTGTATCCCGTAGCGCATCTGCCCGCAAGTCGTCAGCGCCTCTGCCCCGCCCTCGCCCTACCCCGTCCTGCTACTCCCGACCCTCTGCCGCTCGCTTGCTCCTGACTTTGCGCAGCCTTGCCTGCCTGTCTTGCTGCCTGCCTGCGCCCCTCTTGCCTGCCTGCCTGCCTGCCTGCCTGTCTTGGTCTGCCTCTGGCTACCGTCGCTACTCACATGCAAGACCCGTCGGCTCCTTGGCACCGGCCGTGCCCGCTGCAGTTGCCGTCTACCGTACAGCCCGCCTCGCAGCTCGCCCCGTACTGGTCCTCCCGGCAAGGCGAGCAGGTCCGGCCTCCGAAGCCTCCCTTGCACTCGCACCTCCCCTCCCGACACTCTCCCCGCTCCTCCCCGCCGCAGTCTGCCGCGCTGCTGCAGTAGCCTCCCGGCCTGCCTACCTCGCTGGTCTCGATGGAGCAGTTATGGCCCGTGTATCCCGTAGCGCATCTGCCCGCAAGTCGTCAGCGCCTCTGCCCCGCCCTCGCCCTACCCCGTCCTGCTACTCCCGACCCTCTGCCGCTCGCTTGCTCCTGACTTTGCGCAGCCTTGCCTGCCTGTCTTGCTGCCTGCCCGCGCCCCTCTTGCCTGCCTGCCTGCCTGCGCCCCTATTGCCTGCCTGCCTGTCTTGGTCTGTCTTGGTCTGCCTCTGGCTACCGTCGCTACTCACATGCAAGACCCGTCGGCTCCTCGGCACCGGCCGTGCCCGCTGCAGTTGCCGTCTACCGTACAGCCCGCCTCGCAGCTCGCCCCGTACTGGTCCTCCCGGCAAGGCGAGCAGGTCCGGCCTCCGAAGCCTCCCTTGCACTCGCACCTCCCCTCCCGACACTCTCCCCGCTCCTTCCCGCCGCAGTCTGCCGCGCTGCTGCAGTAGCCTCCCGGCCTGCCTACCTCGCTGGTCTCGATGGAGCAGTTATGGCCCGTGTATCCCGTAGCGCATCTGCCCGCAAGTCGTCAGCGCCTCTGCCCCGCCCTCGCCCTACCCCGTCCTGCTACTCCCGACCCTCTGCCACTCGCTTGCTCCTGACTTTGCGCAGCCTTGCCTGCCTGTCTTGCTGCCTGCCTGCGCCCCTCTTGCCTGCCTGCCTGCCTGCCTGCCCGCCTGCCTGTCTGCCTGCCTGCCTGCTTGCCTGCCTGTCTTGGTCTGCCTCTGGCTACCGTCGCTACTCACATGCAAGACCCGTCGGCTCCTCGGCACCTTCCATGTGCGCTGCAGTTTGTGTACGAGTCACAGAATATGTTGCAATCAAAACCAAAGGTGGTTTGTCGGCAGATATCGTTTTCTGTTTCATTTCTGTTGCTGGTTGACATGTTTCCACAATCAATGCATTCTGTTGATACATCGTTGTTTCTGTCAATTGTTTTTGTGTCTGAAGGAAGGTTTGTACCTCGGATTTCTCGGTTTCCTTCGACACACAACAACAAAGAGATGAAAATGATCATCATCTTCCTACGATGAAAGTCCTTCCATGCCATCGTCTCTCCTCTCCTTGATCCTTCAGCCGCCCTTGTCTCACATCAGCGGTCCATCAATTCAACCAGCAATGACCCCACCCCCTCAAACCGTTATAGAGATTTCATAACCCTCTTCTACCCTACATACTTGTTTCAATACCGGTACTCCTGAGCTCCTTTTACCTTGTCTATCACCCCCTTGTGAGAATGTTTCGCACTCCTGTACCCCACCCGTCCTCTACAACACCACTCGGTTTATATGCGTCACAAGGCTGAAAACCCGCAACTCCCCGTGTACGGGTGGGTCATATACCCCTACCCTGTCACCCCCCTCTCCCAGTACCCCCTCTAATGGCTCACATTCATTCCAGTGCTGTGTATTGACAGGTATGCTCCGAGGCTGCTCAGCTGGCAAGAGGCGACTGCCGGGCAGGGCGTATCCCTTCTTGCATTAGTGTCTGTGCTATGACATCTTCACTCCTGGACAGCATCTGCTGCACCCGGTGACCCCCCAGCTTCCTCTTATTGACCCCTCGTGCGCCTTGAGCCTGGATTCCAGCTGGCACAGTTACACGGACATGAAGAATACAACGGTTTGTAACGCATATAACCACTGTCTACCTGGTAGTCAGGGCCCCCGCAGGGACACGCATTGGCCATGTCGCTGTTCCGCGCGCGGGAATGGTGGAGCGCGCGATCCGAGGGGGAGGGAGAGGAGGTTAGCGGCAGCCTGCTGATAGCGAACGTAGACAACAGTCCCGAAGAGGAGGACAAACTCGTTGTGGGAGGCTTGTCAGGAGTTCTCAGGATCTACAGGCCTGCAGGGAGGGGATACAAGCCGGCAGACCTGATGCTAGAGGCTCAACTGGGAGCTCCGATCCTGCAGGTCGAGGCCGGTCGGTTCTCCCAGCATTCTCCGAAAGAAATTGCACTTGCTGTCTTGTTCCCCAAGGCTCTGGCGGTCTTCTGCGTGTCTACGACTGTGGTACAGGGGGAGGCGACAGATGACTCATTCATCAACTTGTCGCTGCTGTACAAGCATGAACTGAAGCGGTCTGCTTTCAATTTCACTTATGGAAGCTTCGGAGGAACCAAAGACAAGGATATCATTGCTGTTCAGTCGCTGGATGGAGAACTTCTCTTCATTGAGCACGAGCAGGTTACTTTCAGCAAATTTCTACCCAACTTCCTTGTGCCTGGTCCGATGTGTTACTTGCCGCAACCTTTTGACGCCATCGTCACAGTGAACTCTCAGTTTGAGTGTCAGTGCTTCAAGTACAGCACTCTGTCTTCTTCTTCGGGAGGCAACATTGCTTCAGAAGACGACAGGGAAAAAGAAAACAGGAGAGCTCGGACGGAGTGGACGACATGTCTTGGTGAAAGCGCGATCCAAGTGCAATGTTTCAAACCACCTGGCTACTTGACTTCTGAGAAATATGAGATAGTCATTCTCGGTGAGAGGAGTGCCTTCTGGCTCACTGGTTCTGGCTCGATCCGTGCCTCAAAGGAGATGGAACAGCCGATCACTTGCATGTATAGTTACGTTGTTCAAGCGCAGGAAAAGGCTGTCAACTTTTTGTTTGGAACTATATCTGGCCAGCTACTTGTCTATAATTACGATCTAAAGTTGCTCTGGGCTGCTTTGTTGGATTTCCCACCCATTAGCGTTGGTATATTGTCGGCTGGTGGAGTAAGAGGACTCGTAGGAACTCTGGGGGAAAACGGCGATGTGATGCTATCATACATGGGAACTGAGCCCCCATCGCAGGTAATTTGCTCCCTCAGTTTATTTCAGCTTGTGTCTTTCGTGCTGCTCTGCTGAACCAATCAACTAGTGCTGATTTTCTTTGATTCTCAGGTGATCAACAACCATGACAAGAAACAGCTTAATTATGAAAATATGGATGAAGAACATAGAAAATTGCTGTCAATCATACGAAAGTCTACCACTGAAAGTAAGTCTGAGCCAACAGACAGATTAATTTTACGAGCTCAAGTCCCAAATAGCATCGATACAGGCAACCCTGATCTGAATTGGCAGAACATTCAAGTTACGGTGAAATTATTCGTGTCATATACAGGCCAAGATTCTTTGGAAAACATCAAACTTACCGTGAAAGTTCCTGAGCCATTCACGTGTAACATAGAGAACAAGGAAATCCCTTTTCTTGAAGGTGGAAGCGGTACTCCGAGGACGATCTCCTTGGTCTTCGGGGTGTCCTCGCCCAGCCTGCCTACAGGAACAGAAGTTTCTGTGGTCGCCGCGTATCAATCTAAAAGTGGCGATCCGCGAATAGTTTCAAGCTCCTTTGCCCTGCCCCTTGCATTGTGTGGACGAGGAATCCCTCCTGTCAAAGATGGAGCGTACAAAATCACTCTTGACATCAACCAAGAGCCACCCTCTCTCCTGGCCTTGTTCGAAGATATTCCTTTTCAAGGCGGCTCTACGCTGCCGAATGTTTTCAGCTTCTTATACCATGATGGAACACAAACCACCATCATCGTAGCCAAGAACACCAACAGATTCCGAATACAATCTGCTGCTTTTGCCTCGCTTGCTCTCCTTTCAAGTGAACTAGCAAGGAGGTTGAAGCTACATTTTGCGAATGCTGAGGACGAATTTATGATTGGTTTCAACGATGATTTGGGGGAACAATTGAATATTTATTCCACCGTGATTGATTCGCATTTTGATGCGAGAAAAGCATTGAAGGTTGACGATCTCTCAACAATTAAATCTGATGCAATAACAATCAATGACAGAGTCTACACGATGAGTTGGAAATTTTTGCTAAAGAATTCCGAACGATCCAAAAACGTCTCCTCGTTCGATACAAAGATAGTCAGATCACATTTCTGATCTTGCATTCACTGAATATGCTTCCAAGGGAATGCGTCGTCGCTAATGGGAATGGACAAGTTGCTTTCTATGTCATACGACCGCATAGTATCGTGCGCGGAAAAGGTAAATTCCTAACTTTGATCTGGTGTGGCTTTGCAAATTCTTGTCTTACTGTGTCCTGTCCAGGGAGAGAAAATGCAGCAAGAACTCAAGTCACGTGCAAATCAGCTGTCGAATGCAACGCGCTTGATGTTGTTATTGTTACGGTACTGAAACATGGTGCAATGTTGAGCAACGATCGATCTGTGACTTTGCAAGTCAGATTCAAGTTCCAACTTGATGATGATGGTTTCAACATCCTAGAGGATCACTGGAGCCCTCGAGTGGTCGATTGTGAAACGCAATACGTGAGTTGTGGAATCATAGACGCAGGCGTTGAGTGCTTTCCTTGGCACAGGGATGGGAAGAAGCTACTGAGCTCTCACTTGGCCTGCTGCTCAAGACAGCTTTGTCCAAGAGTGGACAACGAGAGGCGACGCTGCCTCAGGTGAGTCTCCCCTCCACTGCTGCACACACGAAGATGAGTGTGGACAGGAACCTCCCAAGGCTGCGGGTGACACATCGAAACTGAAGAAGCTGATGGTACAAGTGTGCGAGAGGCTGGCCGCTCAACAAGCATGAAGGGAGTCAGCACCAGCCGGGGTGACAAATAGGCGCTCACATAATTCCACTGATATGTAACGAAGAGCACAGCTCTGTGTTTAATGATAAACAAAAGAAACTTGTCCAGTTTCCCACACCACTCTAAATGATCTACCGGCAGATGTGCACAATCTCGGCCACGGTCTGCTGCATCGACATTTCCAAATGCTGCATCTCCCTGGCAAGATCTCCGAGGCCCTCAGGCTCTGCATCCATGACTGCAAGGTCCTGGACAGCATCCATGATATCAGTGTCATCTCCTCGTGTCTTGGCAACTCCGCGCAGGGCCTCAACAGCGCTAAAGGGTCCTGAGATCGAGGCAGCCGGATCCTCCTGCCTCGATGTGTCCTCAACCTGCAATCCTTCGGCCAAACCGACGATACCGAACTGCCTGGCTCCAAATCTCCTGTATACTCCATCCTTGGCTATCAACTCGTCATGGGTTCCGGACTCGACAACCTTGCCACCCTGAATCACGCTGATAATGTCTGCATTGCGGATTGTAGAGAGACGATGAGCAACGACAACGCAAGTCCTTCCGACCATAAGACGATCCAAAGCTTCCTGTACCAGCTTCTCACTCTCCGCATCCAAGGAGCTGGTGGCTTCATCGAGCAAAAGGATCTTGGGATCCTTCAACAAGGCGCGAGCAATGGCAATGCGCTGCTTCTGTCCTCCTGAAAGCATTACACCACGCTCTCCGCACTGGGCATCATAGCCTTGGGGCAAAGCCTGGATGAAGTCATGGGCATTCGCCAAACGAGCAGCCTGCTCAACGCGGGCATGAGTGCAAATCTTGGATCCGTACATGATGTTGTCCTCGATAGACATGGCAAACAGGACTGGCTCCTGCTGCACCAGACCGACCTGGTCACGGAGCCACTGGGGATCATACTTCAGGATGTCCATTCCGTCGATAAGGATGGAGCCTCCCTGGCAATCGTAGAAACGCTCGATGAGATAGATGAAGGTGGACTTGCCGCATCCAGAGGCGCCAACAAGGGCAAGAGTCTTACCAGGGGGAAGATTGACAGAGAGGCCGTTCATGATCTTGATCTTGGGCCTGGATGGGTAATGGAAGTGCACATCCTTGAACTCAATGTGTCCTTCAATCCCGTTGGGAGCAATGTAACCTCCATCGTAGTTGACAGCTGGAACACGATCCAACAACTCGAAGATACGACCAGAAGCTCCGATCGCCTCCATGAATTGAGGAAAGATGGAGATCAAGGAGGAGAAGGCAAACACAGACTGGAGAGCGAAAAGCATGTACGACACGAGACCACCAACAGACATCTGATTTTGGAAGATCAACTGACCACCATACCACATCGCGACCAAGATACAAGAATCTCCAGCCAAGTTCGTGATGGACGACAATCCACCAGCAATCCACGCCCTGCGCTTGATGATGAGGTAGGAAATGTTGATCTTGTCAGCGTAATGAGAAATTTCCTTCTCTTCCATAACGTAGGAACGAACTGTACGAATGTTGGACAGGGTTTCATCGGCCTTGGAGCCAGCATCGGCCAACGCAATCAACTCTTGCTCAGTCAAAATCTTCATACAGAAACCTTGAAGGAACATGCAAACAGCAATCACAGGGATGAGCGACAGAACAACCAAGGTCAACTTCCAGTTGTACGTGAAAATGGCAATCAACCCAATGACAACCTGGCACAAGGGAATGAACCATCCGGCAAGATTTGCAGTCACCACCATCTGAATGACCTCGGTATCGGTCGAAAGACGGTTGAGAAGCTCACCAACTCTGACAGTATCAAAGAAAGCGACATCCTGACGAAGCATGTTTCTAAGAACCAGGGTCCTGAGGCGGCACGAGCAACGGGTTGCCGCAATGGTATACAGAACCGAGGAGAACAACGTGAGCATACAATCAGCCACGTAGATACAGAGCAAGTAAAGAGTGAATGTAGTAACTGCCGACTTTCCTGCATTCAGGGAGGAATAATGAACGGCGTTGATGACCATACCAACGAAAATGTTCTGAGACATATGCAAAAAAGCAGAAATGGATGCCAAAAAGGTGGCAGAAATAACGAGTGGCAACTCAGGCTTGCCGAAACGCAACAAGCGCATGACTGTTGGTTTCTTCTGCTTGTAGGTGTCATCTTCAGGTCCATCGTAGTCACTTTCTCCCATCTCGCTCTGAGGGGGAGCATCTTCGAACTAACGAAAACGAGTCAGACTCCAATCAGGGTTAGGTATAAGGTGAGAGGAGAGAAGCCGACAGTTGAAGGAAGCAACCAGGATAAAGAGCTATGGGGAAAGAATTCCGATCTATCACGGAAAAGGATCTTGCATACAAAGGAACATCACAGAGAGAGACTTCGAGGGCTAGCAAGGATGATGGACAGAATGACTGGCCACAACAAGAGATAACACGTCGAATGAGGTCAGGAGGTGCGCGAAGGAAGAGAGGAAAAGGAGGAGGAGGAGGACTCACGGTGCTGCCATCCGTCTCGGTGTCAAGCAGCTTCCCCTCGCTCTGAGAGTAGCGATCGACCTCGGACATTGCTGAGCTGCCGACGTGGGCAGAGGGAGAGAGGCGTCTACAAGACGGGGATTGGGAGGGGTGTCTTGCAGGGGTTGGTGGTAGATTACCGGTAGGGTAGTGGCAAGACTAGTCCCAGCCCCACTCCCATAGCCAATAATAGGGGGTAGTATGATAAATTGTAGGGTAGTGCCATCTCGGGGTGAACACTGAAAGGGTGGATAAAAGAGGGGGTAGGGGTCCAATTTTTTTTCTTTCTTGCTTTTCGCTATTCTTGGAGTTGCCCCCTCGACTACCCCACCACCTAAATACCCTAAACCTTAGGAAGTTTTGGGGGTAATTTTGACAACAATTCAGTTTTAGTTAATTATAGCAAAATATCAAGTCTGCCTCTGAGTAGATTATTAATAGAGGCAAGGACAGAAATTGAAATTTAAGACCCCCACAGACATTGCGACCTGTCCGACCATGACGGACTTCAAGGTTCACCGGGTCCAGATCCCGGGCCCGGATGAACTCTGCGAGAGATGTGGGGGTTGGCCCGTACCTTGTCCCGAAATAGCGGCGGCGTCGAGGCTCTTGCTCCAGGATGGCGCGGGGAGAGTTCGATCGGCAGCCAATGCACGTCAGCAACGGAAGCGAGTTTGTGCTTGAAATCAGTAGGAAGAAGGATGGCAAGAGATGGTTCCGGAAAGCCGTCCTTGCTTGCGGCGTCATCGTATCTGCAGTTGCCATCGTCGTCCTTGCGAACCGCGGAAATAGCACCATGTCTCTTGCTGCGCAGGGCATCAGCGAACATGGAGAGTGGTGCAATGGTTGTGGTCCACTTCCTCTGGCAGGTGTCGTTTCTAAGAATGCTGAGAGGATTGCTGCGAACTTGGACTCTATGCGCGCGTTGTACCAGAGTGCGAATGCGGGATTGGATGCAGCGAACAAATATGTATTGAACCTCGAAAACACCGTCGAAGACACGGAAGAAAAGCTGGCATCTGGTTTGGCAAAGTATCAAGCTGTTCCAGGCCTTGCAAACAGTATTTATGCTCCTGTGAATCCTTCAGCTGTAATCGCACGTCCTGCGGCTGTCTCAAGAACATATGTACAACCTTACGCTGCTCCTGTATATGCTGCGCCTGCTGCAGCGACATATCCTGTAGCAAGCTCTGGATATCATCAGGTTTGGGTGCCAAATAGTGACGTATACAGCCGAAGATATGAGTATAGCTTCCCTCAAATAGTGTCATCCAGACATGCTCAAGACGGGAAGTGGGTATGGGTTCGAAGTGGTGAAGCTTTAGCGCAGCGACCTTATCCTCAACGCATTCGAAGAAGTATTAATGTCGGCTCTGGTGCTGATTCCAACTCTCGAAGACCTGAAGTCAATGTTATTTTGACTTCTCCTCAAGCTCGACCACAGTGGTGATTTTTGTTATTACAGCCGAAGAACATATTACTACATAATCTATTCTGCCTCTTATATTTTGATAAAAAGGTCGCAAAGGGCTGATTGAGCATTATGTCAATGTGCCTCCCCGCATTTGCCAACCTTCACCTTCATTTGCTCTTAATTTATTCTTGATTTGCATTCTTGATCCAGACCCAATGGCCTCCTCTGTAACCTGGAGCTTTGTAATTCGCATCAACGAGGTGATGATAGAATGGCCCCACAATATAAGGATATTTCGTATCCGGATAGTAATGGTCATGAGGAAACGAACGCGTCACTTGCACCGAAGATGGGTACTGTTCTGACCACACCCAATGCAATGAACAATCAGCATCAAGCTGTCCATCGTGATCATTATCGCAGTCATCTGGGACCCAGATCAAGTGTCTGGAATCATCAGCTACTTCATGATCCGATGGGAGAGGAAAGAAAGGAACTTCGTCAACGCCACCGCGAGGAGCTGTTGTTTTGGAAGTCTTCATCCTGTTCACAGGCACCCATTGCAAATGATATCCCTTCGGTACTTCTAGAGGAATGCCCTGAGGAGATAATCCATCCAGACTAGTCCTGCTGGAGCTCCCAGTTCTCAATCCAGGTAGGGCAAGAGATGTTTTAGCATCAAAGAACGGTGGGGGACCAAACGTATTGGTGTAAAGGTCCTTTTCACCACCATTTGCGCTCTCGTATAAGGATTTCAAAGCCGATACGGAGGATCTTCTACCGCCATCATTTGCAAATAATTGAAGCAATTGATCCTTGTCGCTCTGTCTGGAAGTGGTTGCCATTGCCACGGTGACGACAAATATGGTAGCAATGCATGACACAATCGCCAGCAACCACCTTCTTCTCTTTGACTCTAACTCCAGCGGGCGAGCAACAACAACTCCATAAGTGCCAAAGTTGGTCCTGCCAGCATCAAATCGCGGATCTTCCATCCTCGCCTGATGTTCTATCTTCCCTTCACCTACTTCACCTACACCTTGCGTTAGCCGCTCCTAACCATGCCATGCAGCCAAAATAGACCACCCGAAACATTTCAAAACGTTTGTTGAATATTGAAAACCCCATGAGTCAAATTTCGAAATGCGATTTGATGATTGAGTAAAAAAATTAATGATATCAAGAGCCATGCTGCACAGGCCAAGTAGTCTAGAACCTACCAACAGACGAGGGAAGAGTTGAGAGAGTATGTTTTTTGATAGAGAATGACGTTTCAACCATGTTGAAATACAACTAAGAGAAGGAGATCGCTTACGGGCTTTAAAAGCTTAAGTGAGAAACTGTGAAGGTTATTTCAGACGGATTTCGTTTTATGCAATGCATGTGATGCAGCTGCGGATGTTGTACGTGTTGTTTGACTTGTATTTGAAACAGGCCGCTCCAGCAAATACATCCATGCTGCGCATTTTCCGGACAGTGCCTTTGATCGTCTTGCGGGGAGATTCTGGCTGTTCAGATTGCTTTGATACGCCACCTGCTGTTGTCGGGTGGGATCTTGGATTTCCTGACGTCACGAATCCTACCTATCAAGTCGAGCCGTACTCGTGGAAGTATATTGATGATGGTCGTGACAAGTACTGTTCCGAATGCTTTGATCAACCGACAGGCATTCCGGAATATTGATAGATTTGTTGTGGACAGGGGTGTGGAGTACTTGATGTATTTTTTTCCGAAGATTTTAGATCTGCACAGAATTGCCCGTTGAACAACAGCGCATCCGATACTACCCGATTCAAAGTTTTCCTGGTGATCTGCAAGGAGAGTGTATTTATTATTTTCAATGAACAGGCAAATTTGGTATTTTAGTCCATTTCTTTGTTTTCAAAGATTGCTTTCAATTCTGGAGGAAGCGAAAAGTTGTTCTTGTCCTCAAATTCTTTCTGACTAGCATACTTGACTACATGCGGTTCTCCTCCTTCTAATGGCTCTATTATTTCCATCACTGGTTCATCATCGTTCCATGGCGTAGCCTCCTCATCCTTGTGCATAGCTGCCCTGCCGGAATCTTCTTTGACTTCCTCCTCCTCTTGTTCATCACCATCATCATCGTAGGCATAGCATCCAACAAAGCCTTTGTCTCTCCAGAATTCAGCTCCCTTCACACATTCCATCAGACTGCAAACAAAAAATAAAAGAAGCAATGACCTGGCCTTCATCATCATCCTCGTCGACGTCCTCATCGTCAGAAACGGGCTTGGAATCCGCGTTCAATTGGATTTGATTTTCTCGTTTCTGAGATGAGCTCAATTCAAATATCATATCTTTCACAGCCTTCCGACTGAAACTCGCTTTAATTGCCAGATTTTCCACTTTAGCTTGTGATTCTGCTCTTAGCTTAGAAATCGTTCCAGTTCTGCGCGTCAAGATTTCCCTTGCTTCATACGCCGATCGTTTTACAAAGTAATTTTCTCCCAGCAAAACTAACACCTCGTTGGTGTGAACCAGTTTTCCGGGCATAAATGCCATTGGTCCGATAGGGACCATGACCTGATGCTCCACCTGCAGCAGAGTGAACAAAGAATCAGCAATACATGAAGCATCGATGAGACCTTCTTGGGTAGTTGCTTGAGGAGCCTCAAGATATTAGCGTGCTCGTCTTCGGACTTTATCAATCTCTGATATTCCAGCTTAGCTGTATCTAGCTCTGCATGCCATGTCTTCTCTGCTTGTACCCATTCCTCTGCCATGTTTGTTCGCTACTACTGGAAAGCTCAAAAGATTGGATCTTAGAAAGTGGAGTCATTGTATATTTGAAATTGTCAACTTTATTTTGGTACAGCAGGTGAATCTTTATATTTTGACATTTTTAGTTGTGCCACTGTCGGGGGCCATGCAAGGCACGTGAAGCTGTGAGATAGCGAGAGCGCATGCGGCTGAGGGAAACACAAGACAGGTGTCGAGCACATCACCTCATGACGAGAAACAAGTGCTTCCTACTCGCTCTTAGAGCTGTGCTGATTGCTGTGATGTGTGCTCAACCATCCCCAATAACCGCGTTCATCGCTTTCAAGCCCATCCAACTCGGTTTTCACGGGAGCGCTTGGTATCCTTATACATCTAAAACGTTTAGACCGAAGATAACAAAACCAACCAGAATGACCTTGAGTGACAGCGAGATTTGTTCTGGACCAGACCTGCAAGGGTCAAGAACCACAACTATCAAGGGCGTTAAAACTATTGGAGTAGATCACGGCCGGCGACGGACTGGCATCTGCGCATCAGTCGGATATGCCCCTAGACCGTTGCGTGTGATTCAACACAACGATGACAACAAGTTTGTCGCAACAGAAATAGCGGAAGAAGTTAGGAAGGAGGCTGCTCAGCACATCGTGGTCGGCCTTCCCTTAGACTCGCAAGGAAGGGAAGGGGAGCAAGCGAATTACACGAGAGTTTTCGTTGAATGTTTGAAGCAAGCCTGCCCTCAATGCACAATTTTCCTCTGGGACGAGAGGTACAGCACTGTAGATGCAACTGAGAAGCTCAGGTCTCTTGGCTACAACAGCTTTGACATGAAGGGAATGATCGATGTGGTGGCGTCCATCGGGATTCTGACCGACTTTTACCACAAAGATGGAAAAGGAGCAATCGTTGCAAACCATGGAGAGAAAGCAACTTCAAGCACGAGCGCAAGGGTATCACCAGCTGCTCCAGTCAAAACTTATGAACAATGGAAGCAAGAGATCATGGCCACGGCGGATGCAACCAGCCCAACTTCCAAGAGGGGAAAGAAGAGGAAGAAATCGAGATGATGTCAGGATAATGAACAACTAGTTTTTTGACCGATCTTGTAACATTAAAAGTTCTTTTTGTTGAATCAAGCTACAGCTCTATCATTGAATTCATCTATTAGATTCCTCTTTTCTGAAGGAGAAAGCTTCCGTCTTGTAGCAGTAATTTGGGCCCATTCTCCTTCCCCCTCTGCACCGACTCTCCAGTTCTCATGGCATCCTGTACGAATTTGTTCAAATTTTACTCCAAACTTGGCATACTCGACTTCCAAGGCAGGAATCTGAAAGTTCCGAATCCCGCTCAAGCACAGCTTGCCAGTCTCTTCCTTGACAGCAAGCGAGAGCACTGGAGCAAGCTTCATCAGAGGGCCAACAAGAATGTTTGCAACGACTATGTCGAATTGGAGAGAATTCATCCAGGGCTCGTCTCTAAAGACAATGCCATCGACATCTTGAATGACTTCACGTGTGTGAAACAATTTCATCTGCATATAATGTTACGGCATGAAGACAGGGGTAAAGCAAATATCACCTGATCCGACAAGCCGTTTCTGATAATGTTTTGTTCGGCATCTTCGATTGCCTCATCATCAATATCAATACCGATGACTGATTTGCATCCAAACTTGCACGCAGAAATCCCCAGTATTCCGCTACCCGTGCCATAATCCAACATGACCTAGAAAGATCAAGTTGAGGGACTATTACGAAGAGAAAGAATGTCATCTAAACGAACCTTCTCACTGCCATGAGACAGCACTGTAGAGAGAAATTCGACACACAAGCGAGTAGATGGATGAAACCCATCTCCCCAACCATAATCGCCTGCTAGATAAATGTCCTGAACGCTGTCCAAACCCGGTTTTGAAACTTTCTTTTCGTCTTTGACAACTCTAATCACAGGCTGTGATGTCATAGGATTGTAGAGAAGAATTTCATGATCGTCAGCTTGAGATGAACGAAGTTGAATTGGACATTGAGGGGATTTCACAAAGTTCAGTGCGCTCGGAGCAGTCGGAACAAATCCAGAAGAAGAATGTAAGAAGGACAGCAGTAAGAGGAGGAATGTTGGATGTTTGTGCATGGTCGGCATGTGCCAGCTCGTCTTCAACTCCTTCCTGCACCCTTCTGTTGCATGGCGGCCTCACCTTCGTGCATCCGAGTCTGCCCTCCGGCCCGGGCCCAGTTCCGATCGGACCGCAGCCAGTCACCCGACGGTCCGGGGGCCGGGCCGCCGCCGGGCCCGGTGCCACGGTGGTCCCGAGACGCCGGTCACCGTCTCACTGTCTCAGTGACTCGGCAGTTACTACTGAGTCACTATGACACTGTGACTCTTTACTCAAAGTTAAGTTAAAAATCAGTACGAGGACAATCAGGAGAGACGAGGAGGCTTGACCCTGTGATCCGATCGGACACCATGTCGCCGTGACAGGCCAAACGGCGAGACAGGCTGCCAACTTGAGTTCAGTGTAACTTGACTTTGAGTAAAAGAGTTCGGAGTTCAGTGAAGGCTTCACTTGGAGTCCGATTCGAAAGCTTCACAGTAGTACTAAGCGGCGCACTGCGCGTGTCGGAAGCATGCCGCTCCGACGATGATCAGTGCGGCAGCCGCAGGGACCCGGACAATAATCGGACTGCCCCGGGGGCCCCAGAGTCCGGCCCGGCTGCGCACTGATCCGAGTGAGCCACCGTTGAGAGTACGGTCACCGGTGATCGGACCGTCCGGCAACTTCATCGGGTCGTTCCTTCCGAGTTCCGAAGGTTGACAGTTTGTCATCCCCGCGCGGAGGGAGCCGCGGGAAGCCTTGAAGATGGTGCTGTTCGATGTGTGCTGCAACTTCCGGAGCGAAGACAGATTCAAGGTGAGCCCTGCTGACAGCCGGGAGATGCTTCCCTTATCAGCCCTGAGCAAGAGCGTTCAAGGAAACTCGTGCTGAGACCGCGGCATCACGATATCAGCCTATCCAAGGTCGGCAAGATGTGAGTTGACTGCCGGAGGAGTCCGAACTCCTGGCTCGGAAGAGACTGATGCTCCATCTTATTCCAGGACTTAGCAGGACGCCTGGCTGGCGTTGGAATCATCTTCAGAGCAGACGACGATGGCGCCCTGCGTGTGGAGGTGGTAGCGGCGGGCGGGTACAACATTGTATATGTGAGGGAGGCTGTGCTGACGGAAGCCGCGCAGTCCAGCGGACAAGGTTGGGAAGATTCAGAAGGGAGACACTTTGATTTCGATAGATCGAGTTGACGTGAGGAGCATGCAACCCGAGCAGCTCGCCCCCTACATCCTCGGCAAGGTCACCCCCCGAGTCCCGTGTAGGACGGAGCTTTCCGACTGAAGTGCATTCACAGCCGGGGTCCAAGGTGAAGCTTGGCTTCATATCTGCCACGACAATCACTGGTCAACCGGCAAGAAAATTCACTGTGGTGTGCATGACTTGACGCATGATCGTGTTAGGCATTTTATTATGTTGAGCTCGAGCGAGAATGGCTGGTGACGAGCTAAGTGAATACGGAGGTTGATTAGAACATGAGAACCTTTCCTTGTCTTGTTGCATTACATGGCATTACTTTGCTGCGAGGTCGTGTCGAGAATTTGTCACTCAACGTCTGAGGACTGCCAACCCCTAGCACTGATTCTTGTAGTCAACGGTAATGACCTGTTGTGTGATCCAAGCGGATTACGTGAATCTTGAGGCCGAACCAGACATCCTGCACACGTCTCTGCATGAGGATCGCAAGGGTTGCAGAGCCTCTGTGCAATCTGATCAAGTATAAGAGATTTCTGAGCACCATCTTTGAAAGTTTCAGTAGCCTTGTTTGTTTTCTTGTCCATGACCGCTTCATCCCTACCTGATCGCGAGAGTTGAAAATTTGCATCACGATTTTTATCTCGGCGGAATGTTGGTTGCCCTTGCGCAGTCAGAGTATCCACCGAGTCGATAAAGTCAACGAGTTCAAAAAACGTGTCATCATACAAATCCTTGCATCCATTCAATGCTTCTTGTTGTTCTGGCTGTATGATGGACTCCACATTCCCTGAATCTTCCAACAGCTGCGCCTTCGAGTGTAAGAGTGAAAAATCGTGGCCCTGAAATTTGTTTTGCAAACATCCGCTGTGGAACTGATAGGGTTGACTGATTTGTGGTTCATTTCCGCACTCCTTAACGCTATGCTGGTTCGTAACAGACTTCACAAATCCTGCCGAGGACGGAGGAGCGATACAAGTCCCTTCTTGTGTAACCCCATAATTGAAATCACTTTGTACAGATCCTGAGGAGCCTCCCTGTGTCATTTCATGAGAATCTATGAACAGGCCTTGTTCGGGATATATTGCTCTGATCTTGGAACTTGCAAACTGCAGTCCTCTGCCCTCAATGCTATTTGGAATTTGAATTTGGTTTGTATGACTCCCGGATTTACCCATCATGTAGTCCATGTCAAGATGATTGTGATGATCTGAGTTTTCAACTACAACTTCGTTGAGATCTGGATCGTCTTTTGGGTTCGCCAGCGATTCACGCCACAGCGTCCCATCTCTCTGATCACAAGAGCTCATACACTTGTCACCACGCAACAGGTTGACTTGAGAAGTCTCTGTAACTTGCTCCTCCGGTGTTTTCAACCCTGAGCTGATGCTGTCCTGTTTTCCTCCTCCCTCGCTCTCGGGTTCCCTAGCCTGCTCTGACTGCAAAGCGTCGGGCTCCTGCACAGCTGCTGTTGATCCATTCTGCTCGATGATGGGAAAGCAGATGGTGTTCTGCTTGTCTCCTTCACTATTCATTACACTGCCATCAACATTCATCGGGGACAATCGGTTGCACATATTTCGTGAGAAATCTTCTTGCAGGTTTGATGTTTTTATGGATTGACTTTGCCTTTCTGCACAAACTTGATTGCCAACAGCTTCCCTAAAAAGACAGCTTGGAGGAAAATCGACTGTGTGATTGATGATCGAGTTGCCGTTATCATGGCACGGCAGCAAATTGTTCGAAAATTCTTTGCCAGAATCGTTTACAATAGAGGAAGGTAAATCCAACTTACTGCGGGATCCTTTGTGGCGTTCTGACAATTGTTCCTGCATGCATTCTTGAGCACTATCTTTGGCAAAACACTGTGCATTGTTTGAAGTTTTGTCCTCCACACACAAAGCTACGACGTTTTCAAGGCCATGACAATCACTGGAATGGTTCCTACGGAACATTTCGCTCTCGTCACACTTATTCATTTCATTTGAGCTCGGATCAAGCGGATGCTTATCATTTCTTTGTTCCTGATGTAGCCAGTCAGAAAGAATCATACTATTTTGCATGTTCACTTCTTGAAATTGAGAATCACATCGTCTGCTGTTAGACCCGCTTGTTTGTGACGAATGCTCTTGCTGAAAGGAAAAGTCGGTCATTTTTCAAACATTGGAATTTTGGAATTAGGACCTTGTCATACGTGTGCACTAGATCTTTCGACATCTCGATCTTTGCAATCACACGGTCTGTAGTTCTCGACGATTCATCACAGGAGTCATCTATATCCTTCGGTTTGTTCTAACAGCACGCATTAAGTTTGCATTCAAATCAGATTTGTGTACCTGGGCAATATAAGAGACATCATGTGGAGACACTTGAGACTCATTTTTTTGCAAACCCGGCTCAAGATTTACCTTATCATTGATGAAATTCAATAAAAAATCACTGGTGAATGATTTTGGGCGAATGCTCACCAGGAATGGAACGTTATTTCGATTTTGAAGCTGGGGCATTTGCATGATGCCCCCATACTTGAATGAGAGCGCTTTCGCGAATTCAGAAATTGCTTGATCGATGGTATTTGGAAGATGTGGTGAAGGAATTGAACAATTAGGCGATGGAATTTCTTCCTACATCAAACCAGGAAAGTCAGTCAAAAATTGCAACAGGCCATAAGCGATCTACCTCATTATCCTCATTGACAGACTTGAAGAGGTGGGTGGTGGAGTCAGTAATCACGCTTTCAAAACGTTCGCACAATTGCTTTTCTTCATGGTCATCCGAGTACAGTTTCACCTTCATTTTGCATTCTTTGCACTCACGAACACTGAGCGTTTTTGTGAGCTCTAGTTCTTGTTCGGTTCTTTGCAGAGTTTCGTACAGATCTCTCATGCGTATTTGGTATTGACGCAAGAGATCTATTGCTTGCTCTAGTTTCAACTCCAACGCTGAGTTCTTCCCTTTCAAGTCTTCATTTTCTTGGGACAACACTCGCTTTGCCTCTCTTTCCTCGTGAAGGTCGCTCAAGGTCTCTTCATTAATTTCAGTAAGCTGCAAGATTTGTCGTAGCACATTTGCAATAGTTTGCTTATCTTGCGGACACAAGTCAGACATGGTACAAAACTCCTGAGTCTTTTTGACCAGTTCTTCCTTTGGTTCACCACCACTCTGCAAGACCTGGCTCAGGTTGCTCATTGCAACGGTATTATTCTCCTTGCCAAGGGTTTTCGCATGCAAACTTTTCATCAGCCGATCTTTCACGGTCTTTGTATCGACATGTGAGCTTTGAAGGCCTCCAAGAGTCCTGGACTCCCTGCATACTGCCATTTCCCGTCGCTTCATTGTGCCATTAAAGGAGGAGCCGGAGCGCGGGAAACCTTCGGGTATTATCTTGAGTAAAGATTATCTCGGGACCGGCCGCTGGCCCACTGAGCGCCGGGCCCGGCCGTGCCCGACCGGCACCGGGCAGGCTCAGTGTGACTCTTTCAACTGACACGGTCCAACGAATCAGCCTGTGAAGGTCCAAGCGTCCTGCCAGTAACGGCGGAGCCCCGCGGGCTGTTAGGCTACGTTAGTACCGGCAGCATTGGGAACCCTCAAGCCACTGATGCAAACTTTATTCATTCGAAACTATTTGAAGAGACCAAGGCGGCCGCTATTTTCAAGTTTGGTACTTAAGTTGGTCGTTCCCATTGAGTTATCTGCAACATGAAGTGAGAAAAAACGACAATTTTCACGATCGTATTTCTTTTCACCTTGAGATCATGATTCACATAGTAAGTTTTGTTGGCTGCCTTGTCAATCTTTTCCTCCCAACCCGGAGGAAGATATGCTGGAGGTGGATGAAGGAGATCCATTTTTTGCAGTTGCTTCTCAGCCTGACATCAAGGGATCACTCGCAAACATCAAGCACGTGATTCCCAACCTGGCTGACGTCAACCGCAGGACGTGGGTGTGGCTGGAGATTCTTGCTCAACATGTAGCTGGTCAGCTGCGTCGGGATCTCTTGAAGGACTCTCTTCGCCAGCTCTGCTGAATTGTCTGCAACTTCGCGCAAGGCAACAAATTGTACGATGTCTCGTGAGGCTGTCTTGTCGGTCTTCATGGAGACCAGGGCTTTCTTGTCTGCATCTAGTTCCTCCATGCTGCTGAAATCTTCATTGCCCACTCCGACGATGAGGACAGAAAGAGGAAGATCGCTCCCTTCGACGATTTGATCGATGGTGTTATCCATATCGCTGATGCCGCCATCCGTTAGAATCAAGAGCACGTAATATTCCTGCGCTCCATCTCTGACCTTTCTGCAAGCCTTGTTGGCTTCGTTTATGATGTCTGCAAAATTTGTCGGCCCACTCATCTTCGCTTTCTGCAAGTACTTCTTGTACGTTTGCAAAACCCCTCCAATGCCATTCACCTGGGGGTCAGCCTGGTTTCCATTCAATGGGAAGCAGTACGACACATTGCCGTCGTCCATCTGTGCGCCGAACCCATAGGTGGCGTACTTGTTGCTGGTGCTGTATTCCTCGAGGATTTTGCCGACCGATGAGATAGCTCGTTCATACGGATTGAGAGTCTTGGCATCATTGTAATGCAGAGAACCAGGGGTAAGCGGGTTTCCATTGGACATGGTAAAATCGATGGCAATCATAACTTCCAGTCGACAACCTCCACAAATGTAATCGAAGAAAGATGGCGTGTGGTGAACCTACGGATCATTGAAAAAACATGTAAGCAAAACAAGCTTCAAGCATGTACAGGAGTACCTGAATGTGAGAGAAAGTAAGTAGTCCCCTGTCCTTGCCATCCGCTTTGTCTCCTTTTGTCACAGGAAACGAGATCGGTCCACTCTTCTGGAGAAGTTCCACTGTCGAGGTGGTGATTTGTCCCAGGAAGTCATGGTTTGACCTTGCATTCCAATCCCAAACTTCAAAGACCAGTGGAGTATCAAACTTGCCTAAGTTCAATATTTGCATAGGAATTTCTATCGGCTTGAAGGTCGGATCCTTGTTATCCTTCACGACTTCAGTACTAAAGACATCTTCAAGCTCACGATCTTGGCGCCGCCTCCGGATTTTGATGTAGTGGTCACCTTTTCCAACCCAGTCTTTTGTTTTCAACCCAGCTCCACTTACAACAAATCTGAGGGAGTCATTCTGTGCCTTAGCTTCTTCCGCAAGGATTTTGATCGTGCCATGATTGGAGTTCGCCTTTCCTTTGGGATCTTGCAGAGAGCCAACAAAACATGACCCCACTGATCCCACAATCCTTCCCACTGTGGTCTCAAGAAATCCAAGAGAATCAGCATCGGATAACGTTTTGTCTGCTGAATCCACGTCGTATAACGAAAATCTGATCAGCTGTACGGTCTCAAAGACATAGACCATCTGGATTTTGGTTGAAAATCTGCAACACATGTAAATAAGATTGTCAAAGAGTGAGGCACTTACTTGGGATTCAAATTGTTCTGAATCACTTCTGTTCGGCCAACCTGGAAAGCATCAGTCATTCATTGCTTTTTGATGTCCAAATGAAGTCTTGGATCACCTCAACCCACTCTTGCTTGGAGTTCTTTCTCTCCATCTATAACAAAATCGTTCAGAACTTGGTAGATTGTGAAGAGAAGCGAGTACCACGCACACGGGATCTGACTTTGAGAACAAGTCCTTGTTCTTGAGGTCTCTGCGAAGTGATGAGACATTGCTCAGAAGAAGTTCATGTTGGCTCACTGGCACTCGATGGTCATGAGCAACGTGGAGTACATCTGCTGCGGCATCTTGGTGTCCCCGCGTGTGTGGCTGGGGTGACGGCGCGACTCCTTGATATGCAAAGGGGGAAATTAAAAAGCCAATTGTAATTAGCGGTCAAATTTGACAGCCAGCTGGGGCCTCCGTTTTACCACATATTTATTTCTTATTAATTATTTCTTACTACTTTTTATATTTCACCGTTGTGGTCTGAGGTTGATACCATTATAAGGTTAATACCGTATCCCTCAACTGCAACCCACCTGTCACCCTATCACTTTTTACCTCCTTCACTCATATGGGGATGGTCAAATCTTTGACCGCAGCCTCCAGCTTTACTACACAAGCTCGCCGCGTGCTGGCCCATCGCCAATACCGGTAGCTACGTTCCGTTGGCAATGAGCGCGCAGGCATCGTTCGTGTACTTTCATCCTCCCATGGTATGGAATCATGCGGTTGACATGACATCAGACAACAAGGAGTCAATGGATGCCAACAACGAGGCCCTCGAGAAACAGGAATATGTCCCTCTGCTGCAGTGCATGAATGTGCTCTCGTCTTCCACGAGGTTTCGATTTGGCATTGTCAGGCTGTGCTTCTTCTTTCTTTACAATGTCATTTTTGTAGTTACACTTTTCTTACAAGTGTCGAACTATTTTGGGCCTCCAAGTTGCGGCGGATCAGGACAATGTCTATCATATTCGGCGTGGGAGCAATATCTTTACGTAGACACAATTAGAGGTGCTCTATATGAAACTTCTTGGGATCCTGCGAACTTGGTCAACAACATCTACGACATGGAAACAATGGATGATTTGAAGGGGTGGATATACAATGTGTACATACCAACCCTTCGTCCGTCAAATTCAAGCAATCCATATTATGGCATGGTACCGATTGATCCGGTTGCTGTGAAATTCTCGACGAGGCAAGGAAGGTTTTGTACAGACAACCAAGGGTTTGAATTATCCCCCAAACCTTGTCAAGGATATTACAATACCAAACCTTTCGGACCCTCTGAGGATCCAGGAAGATGGCAAAGCTATAGCGATGGAGCACAACCAGGATACTACGGTCTTCTTGCATGGCGAGACCGTTACTTTGAGAGATCCATCAAGAACATCTCAGCAGATGGCTTTGTTTCATATCGAGTACCAATTTACAACCCACCGTTTCTGCAAATGACCAGCAACTTAAGCAACATGAGAGTATGGAACGCTTCAACTGCTGACCAAGCGCAGAAGTTTTTTGAAACAGCGGAAGCTGACGGTCTGCTGGACAGCAATATGGTCAGTTTGACAATTTGGACCACTTTTTATTTTCCAACTACAGACATCACAGCGATGGTGCGAAGTGTGTTCGTACAGCATGACTCTGGACAAGCTAAGCTTTGTGAGGATACATGGCTGTGCTCTGACTATGGCGCATTGATGTGGACTCGAGACCTCAGACGCATGTACACTAGCGGAAATGACATGGCCAGACTTGTTCTTGAAATCATTTTCCTTGCCATAACTCTCCTTCAACTTGTTCGAGAAGTGAAACAATTCATCAACGCGCCGGTTGTGAAAGGATCTCGCGCTGCATATTTGCTTGGAACAGGGGGATTTTGGAATTTCCTAGACATCGTTTGCTTTGTTTTCATAATAGGAATTTACTGCCTCAAAGTCATGATGTACGTCGCTTCATCGACAGACCCGGACAGTCCAACAAGATTTTGGTCTCCTGGGTTGCCTACTTTCCTGTGGTCGTTTCATAATGGTCTCAACGGATGGCTTATGCTGTTCCTAATTTTCCGATTTTTCAAGTATCTCGAGTTCAGCAATTCTCTTGGCATGGTCGGAGACACTTTTCAGAAAGCTGCCAAGGATCTCGCAATTTTTCTCTCTGTATTCTTGATTACGATTGTGGCATTTGCATACGCAGGTTTCTATTTTTACAGTGGAAGGATGTATGAATTCAGCACCGTCCCAAAGTCTTTGAATACTGTTTTCAGCATAATGTTTGGCCAAGTGGATTTTCAATCCTTTGGATTCAACACCGACACGTCTTTGGGAACATTCTCTATCGCTTTCTTATGGTCCATTACAATCATGGTTTATCTCATCTTGATCAACATGTTTCTTGCTATCATTATTGGAGCTTTCGAGTCGATTCAAGAGGACGTAAAGCGTTATAGGCTTGAAAGACTTCAAGGCAACAAGTATGTCCCCCCAGGCATCACATTCTTTGAATTCTTTCGGCCTTTGTCTACAATTGCATTTTCAGTCAAGAAAATTAAGAGAGTTCTTGCATCCTTGCAAGAAAAAGGACTGGAAGAAGGATTGTTCGTTTCGGAATTTTATCCAGAAGGTCTGATCATGAATATGTTGCAAGACGCCGAGATCGTATCCACTCGTAGGCCGCCTATGATAGCCAGAGTATTAGGATACAACTCATTGAGGCAGGAATATTTGATCCTATGGAAGGGAAGCAAATGCCTTTGGAGCACGCACCCGAAACTTGTTTCTTTTCAACCCAACTGGCTAAACACAGAGGAGATCAAAAGAATTGTGGATGCACAACACAGCGATGAAAATGAGGTTTTGAACATCTCACCAATCCAAATGAAAACTTTATTGGGCATACGGGATGCTCTCTGTAAGGATGAAAAGAAGGAGGAGGAGAATTTGATTTCATGGGAGTCACGATTCATTCTTACGAGGAGAGTGCTTAATCGCAAAGCAAAGGACGATTTGAAGAGGCTGATGAACATCCCTGATATCTATGACGACACATTCTGGACGCGAGGGAGCGCAAACTTGGTCGCCTACAGCGTGAACATGGATCCAGATTATCTCGAGGCTAAGTATCGGTACATTGTCGGCCGTGTCAAGCAAGACAGCAACGGCCGAGTCAAGCGAGACAGCAACTGCCTAGCCGAGCGAGACAGGTTGCGGATCAAATTAGAAACAGGAAACAAGCTGACTGCAATGGAGCTCCATGCATTGTACATCAAACGCCTATTGCCAACAGCCGTCCGTGAAAAGATCGAAGAGTCTCTGCGTGAAGCTTATGCAAAGGTTGGTCTCTCGTTGCCGAACACCTTGATACATTTCAAAATCCAAGAAGAGGTTGCGAATTTCGTTGGAGATGCTGGCTCTGAGATATGTGAGTTATGTCTCACTAAAACGGAAGCACAGGATATCATCCACGAAAGCACACAATTGACCGATGCCTTCTTCGAAAAATTCAGCACCAGAAGACATATCAGTGACTTTCCGAACAGCTTAGGGGCTCTTGGCATTGAAGAATATTCAAGATATGCAAACGAGGAGAACTATGAGTTTGCTTATGGGAATGACAAAGATGATAGCTTGACGGACATCTCTCTGAAACAAGTGATGAAGGGTATCAAAAAGATCCAGAATCAGCTGAAGAAGCCCAAGAGTGTACCAAAACCATCTACAGCAGACTTGCACAAATAGAGGGAGAAGCGCGATGCCTGAATAGATACTTGAAGGCTGAAATGAAATTGTACTATCCTTCTCTTTGTGTCTCCATCCTTAACTCATCCCCTTCACAAGCTGATGCCATTTGATTTCAATGAGTAGAGTACTGTGAAAGCTCCAATGTTGCTGATTGATCGCCTTTGATTACAAGTATCATACAGAGCCATGTTACTGTGTTGTCAACCCGGGTAATCAGAGTCAGCCAAGTTTCATTCCGAGAACCTCAAAAGCTTCGCAAGTGTGGCAGTTGAGTGTTTTCACATCACAGGGGCAGTGATTGAGATGCGCTCGTTCGTACGGGGCCCGGGGCTGAGACCATGGCCCGTGCCGGCCGGCCCTGGTCACCCGGTGCCGGCCGGCCGGGGCCGCCCGGCAGCCGCGCCGGAGAGCAGAGTCCGATCTGAGTTTTGTTGAGTTGAGTTGGTACAATAACGGATTAGTAACGGATCGATTCCTTTATGACTGAGTTGCTTACATGTCAGTGGCACAGATGGCGCTTGCGCTGCTTCACGTGGCCTCGACCTGCGCGTTCATGGCGCCTGTCTCTTCGCCATGCCGGAGTCTTGAAGCCTCTAGAACCATGTCTCACAACAGAGCTGCGGCTCGACAGATCCTCAGGATGTCGACAGAGTCTTCGCACGTCGAAGCCCGAAGGTCGTAACTTATCGATGCCTCACCGCTGCCTCGTTGCTGACTCTTCAGCACTGCAGGACCTTCTTGAAGTCTGCACTGACACTTCCACTCACTCTCGCTGTCGGTCAACGGGCTGGAGCTGAAGTGTTCTTTGACACGGAGAGATACGGAGATAAGGAGTTGAAAGTTTCCACTATCAACAAGGTGAAACAGCAGTTTCGGGCCCTGTATGAGAAGAAACCAGAGCTTCTGGTCCCATTGTTTCGCCTTGCCATGGAAGACGCTCTCTCCTTCGATGCCGGAACCAGGGAGAACGGCCCCGATGGCTCAGTGTTGCAACGGGTTGGAGGGCCGGGAAGCGAGTACCTCAAGGAAGCTGCGGAAGAAGTTCGACGAATCAAGAGCGAGCTGAACAGACAGACCCAACTCACATCTGCTGATATCATTGCCTTTGCTGGTGCAGTGGCGATCGAAGCTACAGGTAAGAGCAGTAGTTTCTCCTCCTTGCAGTGCCTCTATGACATTCTGAATTTCCTGATGAAGGTGGCCCGAGGACCGTGGTTCAACTTGGACGTGCGGACGGTAAGCCGAGCTCGAAGAGCGGGATGTCTTCATGGGACTTCTCGGCTCCAACGGCTGAAGGAATCCTTGGAGCCATGTCCAAGAGCGGGTTGACTGCTAAGGAAGCAGTGCTGCTGGCTGGAGCCATCGGTTCCTTGAACCAAGCAAGCCTCAACATGAAGGAGGCCATCGCTAACAAGGTGCCTGTCTAGTATGCCTGTGGTGAAAGTGACGGGAACAAGGTTGTCTGCGATGTGGAAGATCCTTCCTGCACGTCAGAGGAAGAAGGGTACTACGGACTTTACTCCCCCGTCACCATCAGATCTGAGACGAGCAACCTTTACGGCAAGAATCGAGGTGCTAGTGCTGTGAACTCAAACACAGGGTTCGACTCCGCCAGAATCGCCGGTTTCTTCCTCCCTTGCTCGAAGTCGCTGTTTATTCACCATGAGTGCGCAGGGTTGGCGGGTGACGCCAAATTTAGCAACAAGTTCCTGATAGATGCAGCAAGCGGCAAGTCGGACGATCCTCTGGCCAAGGCTCTTATGTCGGATAAGGAGATGAGCAAATGGTACCTGACTTGTTGGAGCAGTTCAGACCTGATGGCATGTGCAGGGTGATGGAGTATGGCAAGAAGGGGAACAACAACAAGTTCGTGAAGGACTGCGAGAAATGCTATGTTGCTCTCACGGAGTTGGGCCGTTCTAACACGAGCAGATGATCAAAATCTCGTTTAAATGAGAAGTACAAGCAAGACACACGCATGCGACATGTTTGTCTGCCATCACTGTTCCTCAACTTTGTTCCGTCAAGTTTGCAAACTGAAATTTACAATTATTGGCATTGTGACAATCTGAGGCATCAAGCGCTCAGAGGTGAAAATCGCTTAGAAATGGTGATGCAGCTCTCAGCGAGCTTCTGTTTTTTGCGTCCACCAGGATCTAAGAGGTGATCGGAGGATGTAGGGAAGCAGGAAGGGAAGAGGGCTGAGGGGAGGGGAGGAAGGGCTGAGGAGGGGGGAGAAGGGAAGGGCTGAGGAGAGTAAGGAAGGGAAGGGTTGAGAATCATATTTGAGGGGATTCGAAGTCGCCTAGCTGGGAAAGCTTGGTTTCAACGTGATCACCATCCCGCCCTCTTGATCCTGCGCCACATGAGCTCAGTCAGCAGTAGCACGGGAGGGAACTGAGCCGTTACCTTGATGGTCTGCGAGTACATGGGCTTGAGGAAGGTGAGGGGAGGGTAAAGCACTTCCTGTCAGGTTGTGCACGTGACCCCCTTCCTCCTCTGCTTTCACCATCGTCACCTGCTCATCCGGGAAAGTTGAGAGCCACTGAATGTTTGCTCCGAGCTCCATTGGACTGTCAACCTTTGACACAACAGAGTCAGGCAGATCTGCTGCATGTCAAAGTTCCTACGCGGATGCGGAAGAGAAGGGGAGTCCCAGAGTTCGCGTATCCTGCGGCAGAAGCTTTTGGCTGATGGAGAGGTGAGAGGAAAGGTAACCTGCGACCACTGACAGTTCCTCTGATGTCGACATGCATGCCATCTCCGTCCCTGCGATCGCTCAGCTTCATCACAGCAACGGGCAGAGGAGGAAGAGGTCACCTCCCATCCTCAGGAAGTCCTCATTGACGGTCCTGTTCTTCATCCCCCTCCACAGATACCTGCTTGCTCTCTCAACCCTCCCAACTCCCAGCACTCCCTCACCTGCTCGTGAACTTGTTGTTTCCTGACAGGTGGACAGCTCGGAGCTTCTTGAGACCCTAGGAGGGATTGAGGGACAAGAGAAGGGTTGAAAAGGAATGGGAGGGTATGAAAGAGGGGAGTGGAGGGTGGGGGGGGAAAAGGAGGGAAGTGAGAGGGGGAGAGAAGAGAAGAAGAGGAGGAGGGCGAGCAGTGAGCAGCAAACCTCATAGATGAAGTAGGTAGTGAGAGATCTGAAGGTTTGCAAGGTCAAGAGGTCAACACGAGCATTTTTTATCGTCATCGCTCACAAGGGGTGGGGAGTGACTTTGGCTCTCAGAGGTCCGTTGATTGCCCTGAAAGAGCTTGTGGTATAGAGTCTGAGGGCTGCCACCTGAGGTCTGAGTCAGCCACAGTCGGCCGCTCCCCGTTGCTGCTGCTGCTGCTGCTGCTGCTGCTGCTGCTGCTGCTGCTGTCGTGTCGTCTCCGTCCACACACCCCTCCTCGACTTGTCAATCTCTTGTTCAACATTCACCTCGTATTTCTGGAGCTGAGCTGTTCGAGCATACGGGTGGCTGTGGAAGTAGTCCAGTTTGTATCCAGCATGTCCCTGGCCAGGAGGGTGAGGACAGGCTTTCTTGCAGTAGTCTTGTCCCACCTTGTCGCGTGTCGTCTTCCTCCCATCATTCCCTATCATCTCCACCTCCTCCGCTGCCCCGTTGATCACGTACTCCGCGTTTTCAACATCTTCCTGCGTCACCCATTCCTGACAGTCAACGGCTGCTTGTCGGATCTGCAAGACAAGAGCATCAGCCTCGTTCCCTCCACACTCTCGTCTAGCCTCATCGAGCATCTTCTGCAAGCAAGACCCCGGATCCCTCAAGGCGTTGGATCTCTGCGGCAGCAAGTCTGACAGGGTTCGAGGGTCACCCGTCTTCTAACCTTGGTTTCGTCCATGCCGATGGCGAACAAAATCCCCAAGGCGGCGCCAGCACTGCAGTCACAGTCAGCCTCCTGCTGCACCCCAGCAGCAGGTGTAAAGATGACTCATCGGGCTCACCCCTCTGAGAAGAGCGCTTGATCCGGCATCCCGTCCGAGACAAACTTGTCCATCTTGTTCGAAAGGACTAGACCGACACCGCAACGTCGGGTCAGTACTCGGAAAGTGGGGGGAGAGAGAAATCGGATGTGAAAAGCATGAAGAAGAATCGAAAGATTAGAAGCGCACAAGTGAAAAGTTGGGCAGGAAGAGAGAGGGAAGGAAGAGGAGGATGAGCCTTGAGGGTCCAACACCTGATCTCATCGACTTTTGTCTAAGAGAAGACAACTCTATGATATGAATAGGAGCATCGTATTTCATTGGCTCGAATATCTGGTCGGCATTCTGAAAGACGAAGTTTCCAACTCCCAGAGGCCGTGAGTTCTCATCCAACATTGCCTTCTTCCCCACCGGAAAGTATTCTGACTTCTCCCACTGCCTGTGGCGGAAGGCGAAACCTCCCGACTTAGTGTAGATATGATCACCCACAAACTCAGAAGGGCAGATCCAAGCGAAATGCGTGAAGCCCTGGGACCGGAACCTTTCCTCTGTCACTGATACCCACCGTTTCCCCTCATCGATGCTACTGATGGCTGTGTCAGGCAGCTTGGAAGGAGCTCCGACATAGAGAACTTTTGCATTTTCCTTCATCTCTCCAAGGTAGATAGCATTGATAGCGATGATGTCGTACTTGTGATCGAAGTAGACGAATCCCCCATTGAGCAGCCAGTTACAGAAGGGATCTCCCCAGTCCATCGCACGAGGTCTTGTGCGATCCTCTGAGCCTTGTGCGATCTTGAGGGACCGGAGAAGTTGGTCGCAGCTCTTTCGAAGTTCATCACATGACCTGTGGGGCATGAAGAGGTAGCCGCCGAAGATCTCGTTCAATCTCGATTTCGTCAGACCTCCTTCAATCTTCGAGTCGTTTGCAGCAAAGAGCTTCTTGATGATTTGAAATCTTATCCCCGGGACAAAATAATTCCCCTTTGATGACTTCCACGAATGCTTGATCACCAGGACCTTCACATGCGAGCTCGAATCCAGCAACCACTCAGATACGATATCGATCCCGAGGATGTCATTGTCAAGGGCGTTCTTGTGCTTGCCCAACATCTCAATCTCCTCCAAGCTGAAGTTGAAAGAAATTTTCCCTTCCTCACCTTCCAAGTGCAGCAACTGGGCGAAATCTCTCAAAAGATCTTGTCTCCTGTCCTGAATAAGATGGAATGAGGTCGCTAAATCAAGTTTGAGATTTAAGATGAGCGCAATGCCCTTTTCTTTCTTCACTTCATCTGGAGGGCTTACAACGCTCACGTCAAGGTTGAGATTGCCTTCGAACTCAGTGGAAAGTAGTGGGTAGCAGAAGGCGTAGAAATGGGCGTCTTGGGGAATCGACGCCTTCACCCGAGCTTCTGGTGGAAGCGTCACCGAGTGGATAGGAGATGCGATCATCTCAATGTATCCCCGCTGTTCCAGACATATGTTGACGAAATCTTCTTCCTTGAGCTCCTCTTGGTCTGCATCACAAGCGTCTTGTATCTGCTTGGCAAAAGCTTCGGACAAGATTGCCCTGCAGGTTTCATCCGTGAGCAGCTTCGAGCGATAAACTGACTTGCTTTCGGGATTCGCAAGATGCTGGAACAGCCAAATAAATTCCTGAGACAGAAGGTCATATTTCAATGTCTGCAAATTCGCCATGGAGTTGTAAATGTTTCCTGTGTTGAAAGCTTGTGCGTCAAGGTTAAAACTAATTCGATTGCCAGCCGAGTGCGTCATGTCATGCTTGTCTTGCGGATTGAGCAATTCACGGAACTTGGATATGTTGGCGCATTCTTTCACTTCCAGGAGCAGAAAAGGCGAGTTGATCATTCTAACATATCCTTTACCAGCATACGCTTGTAGACCCAGCAGCTGCATAATCCCTTCTTTGTTTGGCGTGGACTTCTTGGACAATCGATCCAAATTGTCCCAGGTCCACGTGCTGGTGTCTTTGTCTATCAGGTTCGGCTTTTTTTTCTTAGGATCTGTGACGCACCCAGCAAATTTGAACAAGTCATGCTTCAGCTGCCTACAGTCGTCGACATCGAACAATCCTGTCAACCCTTGCACAACCTTGCGCTGTTCAGCGGATAGGGCAGGGTCTTTCACTTCTATTTCTAGTATTTGTGCCTGAGTTCCAGCCTGATTCAGCTCTCGTTGCTCTTGAAGAAGTTGTTGCTTGTACTTCTTTTTCAGTTCCTGATTATCATAGTCGTCGTGCAAGTTTTCAACAATTCTGGAAGTTTTTTCGATCAAATCCTCCTTCACGGATTCGAGCAAGGAAAGCATGAAGGTTTCCAGCTTTCGTTCTTTTAACATTTCTGGTGATGGGAATGTCTTTGTCATAAATCAAACATTGTCGAAGAAGACTTACCTTGAAGCTCCTTCTCCGGCGCCAGCGTAAGGAATCCACTCTTTGCTTCCAGCATATCTTGCAAGTCCAAAAACGAGTAAAAGCAAGCAAGGGATTTTTTACTTGTGATGAAAACGTCATTTACAGCCTTGCGGAACTCTTCCCTTTTAATTATTTTCGGTTCTCCATCTTTGAGCTGCTTGATGAGCTCATCCCTTGCATCCTGTCGCCAGTTCGCGAACATGTCAAGTTTTCCAGAATCAAGTTCCCCCTGGTGATGAGCGCAGTCATAACTCAATGCAACCATGATGGGCGAGATCTGTAGAATAAACTCATACCTGGAAGCGCTCAAGTTCTTCGGGACCCCACACCTGTTTGCTCCCTTTAAGTTTGTTGAAGACTTTGTTCATCTCTTGTAGAAACATCTCATTTTGCGAATCATTCTGTCCGCGATTCGAGTAACTTTTAAGATGAATCTCACTGCTTGTACCATCCTCTTGGCTGCTTTCTCCTGTCTTCTCCTCCCTCTCCACCCTCCTCGCACGGCTGTTCCCCGCACCCATGTTGAGGAAGTTGATTCTGGCAATGGGCGCGTTGTAAAAAAACCTCACTGTCAATTGTGAGGCAGCATTGATCATATAGGGCGACCAACTACCTTCTGACTGGGGGCAGCAACGGCATTCCCGTTTCGTGTCCGACCTCCCAGGTGAACTGGTTGATTTTAGTCTCCGATACTAGCTACTGGCCGGTACATCCGTGAGGTACATTCCATGACAGACTCGATTCTCCAAGGTTGAAATGGTGGCCTATCGGCAGTCGGCCGGGACTACTTTCAGTAATGCATCAGGCCCGGTCCGCGGGCCCCGGGCCCGACCCGTCACGGTCCGAGGAGACTCAGTGACCCGGCGGCCGCGCCCACCGGCCCAGCGGACTCCGCCGGGGAGCCTCCGTAGAATATCCGCCGGGCCGTACCGTGACTCAGAGGCCCGGCGGCGTCACGTCCGATCGTAGCCGAAGACAAGGGGTACAAGAACGAAGATCAGAACAATGCTGCTCTAGGAGAGGAGGCGAGGGGTAAGGGGGAGGCAGAGAGTGAGTATGGAGGATAGTGAATGGGTATGATAGAGCAAGAACAGATTCGAGAGAGGAGCTGATAGATTGAGTCCTACAGCATATCAGAGAGACAGATAGTACAAGTTTTAAAGGAGGGGGACAACGAGGAAAGTGAATACAGCAGAAGGTTATCGGAAAGATCGAAAGTGAGAGGCTATCCCTTCCCAACATGTTCTAGGTGAAGCTGTTCTCTGGCAAGAGTGTCCTTGTCCTGCGAGAGGAAATCGGTGCTTCATCATGGATGTGGCGTTCCATCGTGGGAACAGAAGGAAGCGAATAGGAACCATTCTGTTGTGTCGAGCACTATCTGCTCTATTTCATCATAACGTGTTTGAGCAGACCATGTTTTCAGTCGGAAGAGTCATCAGGATCCTCCTGATATTCCTTGTTGTTCACATACAACTGATCTCGGGAAATGATCTAAGGCATGCTGCTACCCATCTTGTTGAACCGGAGTTTTACCGGCGTATTCCAGGAACAACAGAGTTTGCAAGACTAGCACGAACCCATTCTCTACCTTTTTCCTCTCCTTGCAGGTAAACCGCAAAGTTGGTTCGGACTTTGATTTGAGATGGCCACGCTGTCAGAGTGTTTGGAGAAGGATATTTTCGTGCAAGTCAAAGGAATCGGCAGGATACCATTATCTGAAACACCCTGTATGCTAGCGGGTACCATGGTGGTTCGGTGATTGTATTTTAAGATCAATAGCAAAAGTTTGTCCACGAGCAAAGAAGAGCGCGATGCTCACAGGTTGAGGGGCCTGTTGCCAGCTGGTCAGATCTCGTTGGAAGTACAGGTAAAGAGTTCTTTTACTCTTGCATACCTTTGAACCGGTATCCATCCAGATCGACAATGCCATGGAGCAACTGCGATCGAAATCTAACGATCTCGAGAAATACATTTACCTGCAAACGATCCAAGTGCTTGATCTGTGCTAACACGAATTTCTCTCTGTAAAGTGCCATCCGCAGGACGGTAGTGAGGATCTGTACTTTGGTGTCCTGGGCAGAAACCTCAAGGAATGTATGCCACTCGTGTACACTCCTACCGTCGGCCAGGCTTGCATTCAATGGCATCAAATCTACCGACATACGCCCAGAGGAATCTATCTCAGCATCGATGACATCGGGCATGTCGAGGAAGCTCTTTCAAATTGGCCGCAGCAAGACGTGAAGGTGCAGCCTGCGGCTTCTTTTGCTCTTGGTGATGTAAGCGTATTTCCAGGTGATCGTCGTCACTGACGGCGAGCGAATTCTTGGACTGGGTGACCTCGGAGTGAACGGAATGGGCATCCCCGTGGGAAAGCTGGCATTGTATACCGGTGAACTGCTTTTTGCCATCTCTTCTGAACTGAAAGCCTTTCAGCATGTGGAGGGATTGATCCCAAAGTTTGTCTCCCGGTGCACATTGATGTTGGAACGAACAACATCCCCCTCCGCTCGCATCCTGCATACATGGGCCTGAGATCGGATAGGGTTCGAGGAGAGAAATACTATGATCTGCTTCAAGAGTTCATACGATCTGTCCAGAAGCGCTTTGGAAGGTGATTTTTCAAGTCCGAAACATCAATTTTTGAAATCAATACTTATCAGGACTACTCTGATTCAATTTGAGGACTTTGGAAACACTAATGCCTTTGATATATTGAACCGGTTTAGGGACCAGGCGACCTGTTTTAACGACGATATTCAGGAAGGTGTCAATTTCACATCGCTATGCCTGAAAGTTCTTCAGGGCACAGCAGCTGTTGCTCTCGCCGGCTTGATCTCTAGTGAAAAGTTGACCAACATTCCTTTGTCTCGTCATACGATCCTCTTCTATGGAGCGGGTGAAGCGGGGACTGGCATCGCTGATTTGATTGCAAAAGCGATATCCAAGGAGCTTGTAACCTTGGCTGCTGCATTTTATCCTCTCTGACGCAAAGTTCAAGGGATCTCCTGTGAGTGAAGCTCGGAAGAAGATTTGGATGATGGACTCAAAAGGTTGCATATCAAATTCAATCTCACACATTCTACTGATCATGTGCAATGCCAGGCCTGATCACTTCGAAGCGGGAGAATCTTGCCCATCACAAGCTCGCATACGCCCACGAGTCTGCCTCTGAGTGCACTACCCTCGAGGATTGTGTTGTATGTGTTCTACGGGTTATGCTTGCTGGATTTTGATCGACTTCAGGAACAAATCAAACCTTCAGTCTTGATTGGCGTTTCAGCAGTCCCGGGATCCTTCACCAAGAGTGTGGTCGAGGTATCAGAGACCTTTTGATTTGCCTTCTGCGCTGATGCTTTTTCTCGAACTAGAAAATGTCAGCGATGAATGAGAAACCCGTCATCTTTGCGCTCTCCAACCCGACATCGAAAGCCGAATGCACCTCCGAGGACGTGAGGCTTGCTCCTGTTCCTGTAGCGAGCTGATTGCTTCCCCAGGCGTACACTTGGACTTCGGGGAGATGCATCTTTGCATCAGGAAGTCCGATGCCCAGCGTGACTCTGACGTTGCCCAGCGGAGAGTCGAGAACCTTGGAACCTGGGCAGGGCAATAACGCCTACATCTTCCCCGGCCTCGGCCTGGGGATCATGGCAGCAGGTCCGCTCCTCCTCCCCGGCCTTGCCGAGCCTTGACGTGCCTGCCAGAGGCTACCGCGGTAGATGACGAGGCTCTCCTCGTCGCCGCCAACGCTCTCGCACGTCAGGTGCCTCTCTCCCTCCCCCTCCACCTGCTCTGATCGGACCAGGTCGGCGACGAGCAACTCAAGAAGGGGAACGTGTACCCAGAGCTGGACTCGTTGAAGTCGGTCTCCGCAAAGATAGCAGAGGAGGTTGCAGAGCACTTCTTCTCCGGTGAGAGCCTCCAGCTGATCTTCCAGCTGATCTTCCAACTGTTCCTGACCTCAACACTTCAGTTGGCCTGTCAACTTCCAAGAAGCCCGGGGATCTGACCTCCTACATCAAATCCCTCATGTACGAACCCTAGAAGCTCACCTGTACATCAACATGTTCCCCACCACCATTGAAGATGTTTGTCTAAACATCCGTGAGAGCTCCCGAACCAGCAGCTCTCAGTATCTCCTTCGCATCTCTTCCCACTGCTCTCCCTTAGCATCAACAGCAGCTCTCGCTGCAAGGCTTGCTGTCCTTGGTCTTCGTCCTCGACCTGACGGAGCTGTCACATGCCTCGAGCCACGTCCGTTCCCCCTGCCATCGGCAGCGCACAGGGGATCGTTGCTTGCCTGGGGAGGGGGGAGGAGAACTTTCAGACCTGATTGGAATTAGAGGGGAAGGGGCGCATCGAATGTGGCCGGGAGGGAAGATGTTGACGTGAGGGCAGCGAACATGGCGGAGGAGAGTAGCTGACGCGCTCAGCCTGTTGGTCGTTGGGAGGATGAAGAGGAAGAAGCTGCTGCTGTTCGTCGCGCTCTCCCTCCTTGCTTCAGGCTGCTCTGTCCTCCTCAATCAGGAGGGGATAAGGAGGAGAGCCTCGGCCCTCTCACCAACTCAGCATGGCGGTCGTCGATTGAGAGGAGGAGGATGTGGGAGCTGTGTCGGGAAGTGTGGATCCTGTGGAGACGCAGAGCAGCCCGATGGGCTTGACGAGTCAGCGGGAGACTTCTTTGATGACATCATGAATGATGCAGCTGTGACTCAGAAAAGTGCCGCGGTGGTTGCCAGGGAGGAGGAGCTCAGGAAGGAGAAGATGGCGCTGGCAGCGGCAGCAGCGAGAGCAAGGGAGGACAACCGCATGCTACGACGCATGGAACAGCCTCTGCAGAAGGAAAACTTCACTGACTTCATGCAGCGGGTGGTGACTGAATGGGTGGACATGCACTTGGACTGCTGCTGGCTGCCGGTGTTCGAGGAGCTTGATAACGACAACAGAGGAGAGTTGTCAGCTCAAGACTTTCGTCTTATGGCCAAGGCTCGCATCGACGTGCTCAACCCTGCGCTCAGTGCGATCGACGTGCAGAATTTCACCTGGGGTTCGCTGGGAGACGTTGTCAGCGAGGGAGAGATTCAGAGGATAGTAAACCGGTACATGGAGCTCGACACAGACAAGAATGGTTTGTTCCTTTGCAGAGTTTGCGAATCGATTTCTCCAATGGACTGTTGATGGCATATTCAGCAGCATCGACGACACCATGGAAGAAACTTTTGCACAGTAAATGAACTTGGCTTGGCCTGCCTCACAACTGATTGTACGACGCAGAGACAGTGGGAAAGTAGAGCGAGAATTTGCTGATACCTTGGAGGAGATGTATTTGCAGCTGCAGGAGCAGATGAAGCCGTTTCTGGCAGCCATTCGGAAATTGTTCTACCCGCACAGGTAACCTTGTCATGATCATCTTGAGTTCTTGCTTTCTTACAGTGGCTTTCTCCTTGCTCTTTCCAGAACTCCTTCGCAGAGGACTAAGGCACTCCTGAAGGGAAGAGTCGGAGATCCGGACACAGTCGACGAACAAGTGATGTATGAGCAGTATCCTCCAGATGTGTTGAGCCACGAGATCAATGGAACCAAACACGAACGAAGCCATCTCGAAGCTCGGGTACAATGGTGGGCTGGAATTGATTGTGTAGATAGAGTCTGATTGTGTTTGGCTCAGGATGGAGCTTGAAGCCATTCGATATTCCATAGACTGGGATAGGAGGAAGGCCAGCGCAATTTTGACTGACGCGTTGACGGGGAATCCTTACCAGGAAGTGGATGAATCAGAAGAAGACTCAGCAGAGGACGTCTGTTACAGTCTGCTGCCGGGGTCTTCGGCCAAAGACTTGCCGTTTCGCTATCGAGGAAAACTTTCTCACTCCGTTGGCAACTACACCCAAGGATACTCTCGGATGCTGAGGGCGTCGTTGCTCATCAATAGGGCAGAGGTGAGAGGCTCTGAGCAGCCTTGAAGTGACGCTGTGGACGTGACTGATGTCCTTGCTCGTTCGGCTGCAGATCCTTAAGGAGGAATGCTCTGCAGCTACCATGACTCCTCCTTTCTGCCTCGAAGCCACTGGGGACCCCGAAGGGTGAGCGCTGCTGCCTCCTGTGAGAAAAGTTGAGAGAGAGAGCGTGCAGAGGCCCGGAATGGACAGAAGAAACTCTCAAGCTGCTGGGCCAAATGATGATGGACGTGAACGCAGCAATATACGAGGTCTATACTGGACAGAAGGAAGAGAAGAGAGAATGGCTGCAGCTTTTGGGGCGTGGAGTGCTGCGGAATGCCTTCATGCAGCGAACATTGTGCAACCAGGCAAGAGACGCCCGAGAGAGGAACGAGAGTCTTATTGATGCTTGTTCGCAGGTGTTGCGCGACAGGGACGGGATGATTCGAGACCTTCTCATCGCCTTCGAAATGAACATGCCTGATGCCTACGAATTGGCTGCGTTCTACTACCCTCAGTGCATCTTGAAATGGCTGGATTTTGATCATACGAAAGAGAAGCATCCTTCCCTCTCGTTCTACAGAGGGTCTCTCTGCAACTGCTCCTCACTGAGTTGCCTTGAGCCTCCCAAGTTTGAGTACGAGACAGACGAGCTGCTGGACCCGGCTTACTTCGAGCCCTATCCTGCCGAGGACGAGGAGCAGATCGAGAGGACCTACAGATCCATGAATCTCTGCAACTTCTCGTCCAAGCAGCTTCAGGCCTGCAAGGAGCCTGTCAGGATTCCTCACGACTGCCGGGACTTCCAGGAGGCAATGGACCTCATTAACGCGGCGGCACGAGAAGGAGTGTCGGAGGAGTTTGAGATCCTTGTTTGCGGCCCGAGGAACTTCGCGTGGGAGGAGAAGCTGCACACCATTCTTCACGTGCCTGAATGGGTGGACCTTGAGGAGTTGGCGCAGGAGCCCTTCGTGCGGCGGAGACGGTTGGATTCCGTGAGCTGTCATGACCTCAGCCTTCTAGCCTTCTCATGGTTGACCAGGCGCCGGAACTCATGCCTCAGCTCGTTCACCTGCTCAAGACTCCTGTCAGGTTGACACCCAGCGGTCTGGACCATTACTCGTACATCGATGTTCGTTTCTTCTGTAACTTTTACGTCGCAAGTGGATCTGACGATGGGGTATCAGGAGATCGCTCTGGATGATAGGTATCGCGATTATGATGTCGCAACACAGCTCATCGCTCGTCACAACAAGAAGCTAGACAAGCCCTCAAAGTTCTACGATGTTCCTCTGTTTGGATATCTTCCCCCAAAGAAGGTTTCAGTCTCATGACCTGCCGTTGACGACTTGTAATCTGACATGTTTGTTGAAAAGTTGACCCTCAGGCTGCGAGGGTCCCCGAACGTGCAAGTGTGGGGCGAGTGGCACCTCTCCTCCATCAGCTCAGGATCAATAGAGGGGATGACCTTCAGTACTGTCTTCCACTACATGCGCGAACACGAGGAGATGGAGGATTACACGGTGAGCGCTGCACCCTCGCCTCCCACGGAGGTCTTACCAACACCTTCCTCTCCTCTAGTTTCTGCAAGCGGGCGGCGAATGGAACTTCACGCACGCAGACATTCGGGTGGGAGCAGGAGGGGCTCTGCTGACAAAGCAGCGGGCGCGAGCTCGACTCACTTGGTGTTGCGTCGGGGGGGTCGACGATGCAGACTTCAGGGCCATCAATGGTGTGGTTTCAATCGACTCCAGGTTCACCTTTTATACCCAGTCTCCTCTCCTCTCTCCTCTCCTTCGTCTACCTCCGTCCACTATTTCTCCGATCTCCTTGTGTCTTCTATTCTCACTCGTATCGCAGCGCCTGCCAAGCTCATGCAGTTGTACTGGAGTTGTGCGGACTGCAGAGCGGAACGGCTGTGTTTCTGACCCACTCAGGCACGTTCAAAGGCGAGAGCTGCCTCTTCCAGCACAACTACAACCATGTCCAGGTCAGCCTTCAACCTCCTTGTCCCTCGCTATCACTCCCTCCCCCCCCTCCTTCTCCCCCTTCTCCTCTCTGGGCTCCCCACTCCCTCCTTTCCCTCCTATCCCTTCTCTCCCTCCTCTCACTCCTTGGTTCTGCTCTGCTAGATCTTTGCCCATACCGCCGTATCTCTCACCAACTGCACCATGTGGAACCATTCCAGCACGCTGTGGGTCGGGCATGAGCTGTGCGACGAGGAGGCGATCATCCACCTTGACGGTGTTGCCGTCTTCGGTTCGCTATGGCGCAACGACTGGCGGCCGGCTATCTGTGACTTCAACAATGTCTTCGAGTACTCCAAGGCCGCACGCCCTGACAGGCCATACCCGCCTCAGAGGAAAGTCAGGACTGCCAGTGGTGCGGCCAGCAAGCCGAGGGCACCCACTGAGAGCGGCGGAGGACTGGGAGGATGCGGCAGTGGAGGATGTGGTAGTGGAGGATGCGGGGGCGGCGGCTGTGGGGGCGGTCTTGATTAGTGATGATGTAAAATTAGTTGCGAGAGATGGCCTGGCCCGGCGCCGCACCTCAACGGTGGCCCACTATGGGCTGTGCCGCGCGAGTGACCGTACTGTGGTGCTGTGGGGCAACCCGTTCTGTGGGGCTGCTGTGGGGCGGGCCCGGGCTGGGGGCGGGGGCTGGGGCGGGGCTGGGGGCGGGGCAGGGGGCGAGGGGGGGGGGAAGGGGGGGGCAGTGCAGGGGGGGCGGCACCTGAGTCATGGGAGGGGATGAGGGGCAAAACGGAAAATCAGTGAAGGACGTGGAGGCTGGTAGCAGTGAGCGGTAGGACGAGAACGAGGGAGAGAGAGAAGGAGAGAGGGAGAAGCTTGAGCCCGCTCTTAAGCTTTGAGAGGAGGGGGAAGAGAGAGAGAGAGAGAGAGACCTGAAGAAGCACTGACATAGAAGGATCGGGGCGTCGGGAGAGAGTGAAATTCGTTGGTGAATTCTGAGGGATTGGAGGCAGAAGGATATCGGGGCATGCGAGCTGGTGAGGTGATCGTCCCCCGACGAGCAGTCATTGACAATCCATAGGGTAAACGTCGTGATCGCTGTGGTCCTGGTATCATTCGGGGGAGACCGACAGGGCTGGAGAATATGGCATCGACTCAAGCAGCAGACCCATTCTTTAGCTTGAAGGCGGAAGTGGAAGCAGCAATCAATGACATCGTGGAAGGCTTACCGCAATTGACACCAAGGTGAATGTGCCGCTGTTAAGTGACCGAGGGGTTGACTGAGGCATGTTTCAGAGAGGTCACCGAGGCCATGGAGAGGATCAAATGGGACATAGAGATGATGGAGGACTCGATAGACAGGTGTCTCGAAGCACAATGATGACCTTGTTTGGTTCGCTGACTAGCAGCTCAGGGTAATGTCGAATCCTTCAAAGTTTGGGATTTCTGGCGATGAGATAGAAAGGAGGAGAATTTTCGTCAACAGCATGAAATCTAAACTGTCAAGCATTCAAAGTAATCTCTCGTGAGCTGCGCGTGTGCCTCCTCTGATCCTTGTCCCAAGGCAAAGATTCGGAGAGAAAATCGGCGAATGTAACCGGGAATGGTATTGCAAACTCAAGAAGTACGGCGTCCGATCAGAGAGAGGCGCTTCTCGGGAATCGAGACCAGGAGAAGTGACGAGCTTTTGCGTGTTTGCTCTCGTGTGAGATTTGGCGCAGGGCTAAACAACAAGCAGCTCTCGAGGAGGATAACGAGAATTTCATTGAGAACGAAAACCTTCGCAGAGCTCTCATCATGCGTGAACAAGATGAAAGCCTTGATGACTTGAGCCTCGCTGTCACGAGAATCGGGCAGATGGGACTGACGATTCATCATGAGCTGAAAGAGCAGGTGATTATCTCTCTTGTCCGATTCATTTCTCAGTCCTGTTGGTCGTTGATGGTTTGGTAGGAATCTTTGATTGACGATCTTCATGAACGGACAGACTATTCTGTGAACAACATGTCGGATGTGAACAAATTGGTATCGCAGCATGTTCGAAAGTGTCCGATGTTCTTTGAATACTGATGCAGGTCAGCGAAATGCTCCAGAATCGTCAAGGAAGAAATCAGCTGTGTCTGATCTGCATCCTCACGACTGCTCTTGTAGTTGTGACAACCTTGATTTTCCTATTACCATGACAAACAAATCCAAATGAAGAGTTTTATTGAGCACTATTTACCATTTTGGATCAGAGATGTCACATGCAATGAGCAAAGCAAATACATAACACCGACAAAAGAAGAGGATTCGGAAATTCCTCTTAACTTAACCCAGAGAAGAATCAGCTATTCGTCAAGACTAAGAGGCTTCTAGATCAGATATGACATGAGAAGCAAGATCTGGAATAATACACGACAAGGACAACATAGAGACACCATTCAGATGTCTCAATCTAGCTCAGGATTCGTCGAGATCATGGCACGTTTCGATGGCTGATTGTCTATCTGCATAGTAGAGACGCTGGAATCGCTATCTAGCGTATCTCTCCCACTTTCGACCGTATCGTAGTCAAGTCTCTTAGCAAAGCACAGCAACATGTCCTGATCTCTATGGTTAGTCCAACCATCTTCTTGGTCGTCTCTATCGTTACCTCACGCTTCAGTGCTCCCTTCCTAGACCTTAGGCGATCCATGTACTGATTCCATGTGCGATCGTCGAGCTCGCTTCCATTCGGTAAAATCAACTTCAACACAAAGTCAGCACAGAAACAAGTCAAAGGAAACGAGATCCTACCCGAACATGCTTCGGTTGTACCCCACTGCTTGTTCCTGCACCCCAATAATAATGCGATATAACATTCTGACTCAATTCTCTAAGCGTTTTCACCTGAAAGATGAACGTGAGCAACGAGATCTTCGATCAAGATGAAAAAGATGCACTCACATGAAATCGAACAATCCATTCATCATTAAACTGCACTCGGACGACGGCAGTCTCTTCAGCTGCAGACATACGTACTGCTGAATGAGAAGCTAACCTAAAATCCAAAGCGTCACCTTGTTTTTATGTGGAACAAGATTCATCTTTTTAAGCCGCAAAGAAGCGGTCGGGAAAATCCTGCAGTCCTCTGTCTCCCACTCAACTTATGCCTGACTTGAAGCTTGTATTCTCTTGCTCACGTTAGCACAATTCAAATTCAACTGATATTGAGATCTAAACTTCATACACCCATTTCTATCAGCTTTCAACGCGCAGAAACACATTCAAGAAAATCATACTCTACTTTTCTAAGTGTTATCAACAACGGGAAATTACAGTGCTCGCAAGAGAAGTCCTCCTGCACTATTTCATTTTCTTTCAAACGCAAGCATCAATGCAACCCATATCTGACTGAATATACAACAAATCAAATACACTTTCACTACATAACGAATCAAAACCAAAACACAGAAGAAAGTAGGTTCATGCACTCGTAATCTTGTTCGAGTGGAGAGGCAAGATATGGTTGTAGATGCAGAACAGAGCAAAAATTCTAGCACGTGCCCGTTGATCCATTGAACCGGAATCGTTAGCTCCACGCAAGAATGCGACTTGTACACCAAGGATAGGAGTGAAGTCATTTCCTTGATGCAAATAGACGTTTCTCTTATGATATCTCTTATGATATCTCTTTGTCATCCCAGTCTATCTTCTCACCCCTCCTCCCTTCCGTCCCTCCGTTCTTGCGTCCCCCTGGGGCCTCCAACTCTCCAACACACTGCCCCCAAGTCTATTCAAGATTTGTTTGTCATACACATTTTTCTTGAAATCTCTGCGCTACCATCACACATAAGCCATGGCTTCTCTCTCCCTTCGCCCTGCATTTCGCCTCGCGAGGCCAAGCCACCATGCCGCAGGGGGTTTTCCCACCCCACCCCACCTAGCATCATTCCGTCCCAGCTTCACCCCTTTTATGAACCACCCCACCACCAATATTCCCAGGGTTCTGATGGAGGAATGCCGGTAACTAATGTACCAGTACCCGTACTATTTGATTTACGTCCTCGGCGGGGGTGCTACTTCTAGCCCCCAGTCCCTACCCACCAGCACCATCGAAATCCATTCCTGTCCACCCGGTTCCTTCTGCCCCTGTCACCACCCTGGAATAACAACAACCCCCCTGTAGTCTGAAACTACCCTACCCATCTTACACAATATCCCTGTCTAGAACCTACCCTTCTGCTATACACCTTCTACTCTTTTGTTAAAGGAGGGGTAGAGAGGGTACAGGTCTTCAAAAGTTTTTCGCAGGGGGTCGTTTCTCATTGCTTAATGCCCCTTAAAATTTCAGATGTTTCAAATAAGCTTCATTATTTTCAAAGAGTAGCTGACCCACTCAGTACGGTCGGTCACAGCAAATGTTACGCCCACAGTCCACTACCCTACGGGTTACTAAAATAATCTTTAAGGTAAACAATTTATTGCAAAAAATGCTTTAGCTCTTGAAGAAAATGCGAGGAGGCCGAATAGTCTGAACTGCTGAGCAGTACGAAGTCGAAGAGCAGGCAGGAGGGGAGGGAGTAGAGAGAAGCTGGAGGCACAGGAATGGTCATAAGATCTCAATGTAGGCAAGAGCAGGACATGGAACAAAATGCTTACCGAAGCGACATGAATTTCTCAGGGGAGATACAACATGGCCAGAATGAAAGCGAAACGACTGCTGAAGCATGATGTAGTCGAATCGAAGTCAGACGGATGAGAGAGAGAGAGAGATAGAGGGAGGGAGGGAGGGAGGGAGGGAGGGAGGGAGGGACAAACGGACGGTGAGGGAAGAAGATGGAGAGGACCGAGCATTCCAAAGACGGCACTTCTGATTTCCTTGTTTGCGAAGAATGTTTCAGCAAGCGTCTTGCCTGGCGTTGCTTCTGGCAATCGATGCTTGCAACGCCTTCCAAGGCTCAACGCTGCACCTGGTTCGGCAATCTTTGAATCCTTGCATAGCCTAGTGTGACAGGATAGAAGCAGGGCCCCTCAACTGGGAGACGCGTCTCATTCTACTCTGGGAGGCTCGCTCTTAGCCAAAAGGTGATGGGAGATGAGAGGAGGGATACTTTTTCCTTCGCGTCCCTTCCACGTGTCGACCTCCCTACCTCCGATCCCTCCGATCCCTCCGATCCCTCCGATCCCTCCGATCCCTCCGATCCCTTCGATACCTCCGATCCTCTCTGCTCGTCTGATCTGCCATACAGCTAACGGGTGCAGCTCATCGAGGCGGGATGTTGAGCTCGCTCAGCTGCTCTCAAGCAACGGAGGGGAAGGGGAGCAACAAGCTGATGCTGGGACTTGTTTCAGGTCTCATGGCTGGAATGGCTTCTTTGGACTCAAAAGACTTTCAGGATTGCTTCTTGTCAACACAGTCTTCCAACCCCTTGCGCCATCCTTTGCGTAATTGCTGAAAAGTACGACATGAGGCTTGTTGACAAGGTGATCAGGCAAGATGTGAACCCCGTGAGCTCTACATCAAAGGCACAAGGTTGATCTCACAAGTGTTATCTTCAACTTGAACCTTAATCTTCATCTTTCAATGCCATTTCTCGGCTCCTGATGACAGAAGAAGCAGGCAGTTGCTCGAGTCAACATTGGTCGGCAACGCTCTTGGCCTCCACTGAGGATACAGGAGGGTGGGGATCATTGAGACGGGATAGGGAGATGGGTTGACTTGCAATTTCATCAGGGGTTTTGCCGACTTGCCTCCCTGCCTTCCATGGTCTAGCGGCCCTTGTGTGTCAGTGAACGGACCGTGCTTTGCGGACGAGAAGACAGGTCGGAGATGTCTGTCATGTCAGAGAGATTGACTGTGAGGCCTGCAAGGTTGCGGGAAGTCGTTCAAGGAATGTGCTGAGAACAAGGGTAAGCAGCCTTAGAGGAGGGTGTTATGGTGGCAATTGTGAGCGGAGGAAGGGGACAGTTATGGAGGAGGAATCGATGGGGTGGGAGATGATTTTTCTTGTCTCTAGATTGTCAGAAGGGCTTGTCATGCCTTGCTCGATGCAAGGGAGAGCCAACGTGCTCGACGGGTTGCTTCGCGGCGTTTGCTGATGACAGCATGACAAACTTCCTCGGTGACGGGTCGGAGGATGCGCAAGAGCAGGAGGGTGACTATGTTGGACAGGATGTGCTCTTGAGGACAAGGAGTGCATCAACTTCCCCAAGGATCCGAAGCTTCTTGGCTGGCTGGACGACGGAGCAGCAGGTGAGGGAGGTGAGGGGGCAGCGGAAGGCGCTGACGATTGAGCAGCTCCCAAGAAAGTCGCGAACTTTGACATCAACTCCTTGAAAGGAGACTGGATCAAGGTATGAAAATAGGAGGAGGACGTGGCGAGGGGCTGGCAAGGGGGGAGGGGAAGTGGGTGACGCGGTTGAGGTTGTTGTGTGCCTGTGTTTGTGTAGAAGAAATGGGATGGCAGAGAATGCGACGGTCATCTGCTGCTGCAGGTGCTTGGGCTTGACGACCGCTACGATTGCTTCGAGTGCCAACAGAATCGCTTCAGGTGAGGGAGAAGGAGAGGGATTCGGAAGCACTGAGTAGGGGCAGAGAGGAGAACGGTCAATGGCGAATGGACACGACGTTCCGCCTCCCTCGAGCTCGGGGAATGAGCAAAGGTAAACGTAAAGGGCAAGACGTTTCCCCTGACATCTGCTGTCTCTTTCGTTCTCTGTGCCCCTGTGTCCATCCATGAAAAGTCTCTGTTGAGAAACCCCTGGCACCCAACACTTTCAAGTGGGAGGCATCAACTCAGGTACCGCCTCGTCGCCCTCGCCCTCTCTGTTCTTCTTCCGTCTGAAGCTCCTCTTATCTTGTTCTGACAAATGTCAAGACCCCAGACTCCAACTACCTGCAAAACGATTTGACGGAAGAGGTTCGTTGCTTGTGTGTGTTTCTTTTCTCTCTTCCACTGCCCTGCCCAGCCCTTGTCCCTGCCCTGCCCTGCCCTGCCCTTGTCCCTGCCCTGCCCTGCCCTATCATCGGCCTGTTTCTTCAGATCCGTCCTTCACAAGTGACCAGTCACTGCAGGTCTTTGTCGACAGCAAGGACGCCCGTCCAAGCATGCACACAACTGTGCGTGCGAGAGTTCAGCCAAACCCTCCGTTGCCTTTGTGCCCTCAATATTTCTTATGAGCACCTTCTCAGCTGTTCCTCCCTTGCCTTGATGTTACCTTCTTCTTTTCCTTCCATTTTGCCTTCTTCCCAGTCTCACTCTCCAGCTTCCGTACATCTGTTTCCTCAGATTTCCTACCTGTCCTTGCCCTCCCTTCTCTCCCTTCTCTCCCTTCTCTCCCTTCTCTCCTGTTCCCTCCCGCTCGCAATCCCTCTTTCCTCATCGCCCCCTTCAGGGCAAGACGTTTGGCCTCACCTTCTGGGAGAACTACTACATCGTCGGGCAGGTATGTTGTGGCTCTTCCCTTTGCTGCTCTCGACCTGAGCGCTGTGAGCAGGGGAAGGACTGGCAGTTTGTCAGATACGTTGGGCACACCTTGCAGGTCCTCTTGCTGTTCCTCGTTACCTTCCCCTTGCATCTCAACTCTCTTATTGCTCTTACCCCTTGCCGTTCCTCCTCAGGCATATATGCTTACTGATTGACTGCATTAGGGCGGCTATAAGGGAGCTTTTGTTCTCTCCCGCACGCCGGAACTGTCTGCAAGCGCTCTGGAGGAGGTTTTGACCCTCTTTTGCTCTTGTGCGGGCTGAAGTGTCTCCGTTTGGCAGGTGAAGGCTGTAGCAACCGAGCAGGTCAGCTAGGAATATGCTGTAAGCTGTGCCATGTGACATGTACGAACAGGGGCTGGACCTCTCAGGTTTCTGTCGGATCAAGAACAAGGCTTGCGGAACAAGGCAGTTTGTGAGGGGAGAGAAGGGGAGGGGATGACGTGATGGGTAGGACTGATGCTATGGCGGTCAATGACCTGGACGACTACCTCGGTGATGCGAACAAGCACGTGGAGGTCTTTCATCTGTATATCATTCTATTTAATATCATCACGTACATGTTTTACAGTTCATGTTTGGCCGTCAAGAGAAGTTCAAGCCTTGAGGCGAAAAAAAGGAGCTCCATCTCCCCCATCGATGATAATTGTGTATATCTTGACTTACATCAAAGAGATAGCACGCATGTTGAGCGAGTAAAGACTCTTAGCCTGCCCGGGTGTGTTGAGTTTGCTTGCAATGATCAGCGATCTTCCAGCTCGAGACTCCCGTCCAGCTCCATGATCGCGTCTAGCCCATCATAGTCGAATTGACTGCAAGAGAGCTCAGCGTCATACTCGCTCGCCGAGCTCGAGAACTCCTCGCACGAGAGCAGTTGCATGTCGCCAGTGCTAATGTCTGAATCCAAGGAGCCGACGCAAGCATTCTTCCTCTTGCCTGACTTGAGCCATTCTGACGGGTTGGGCCCGTGTAGATAGGCGACTATGCTAGAGAATTCTTCGCAGTGAGGGCTACTGACCGAGCAAGAGCTCCTGGTGCTATCATGCTGGAGCGAGTCTTCGTTGCAGCTCTCAAGGTCGTTGTCACACTCGAGCACCACGCCGACACTGTCGCTGATGTCTAGCTCTACCTTTTCGGAGATGAAGTCCACTTCCTCCGTCTTTAGCACCACTTGCTCTTGCTTCTCCGTCGCTGGATGCTTGCTCTCCTTGCAGACCTCGGAAGGCTTGGCTTGATTGGTTTCCTTGCTCTTCAGAAGCGGATTCTCTGGTCTTTGACGGGAGTATGGCCATCGAACAACACCAACGCGCCTGCATGCATTCTTCATGGCGGTAAGGGAGATGCCCAGGTGAGACGCAGCTTCCACTTGTCGCATGTAGAAAAGAGCCTTAATGTCGTTGAGGCTCAGACTGAGGGACTTGGGACTAGACCTCTGAGATTCTCCCTTCTTCCTCCTTGGGAACACAAACGCCCGTGCGGGTCCTGCATTGAAAGACTTTCCTTTCTTTGTGACGTTTCCTCGGAAACTCCCCGGCTCATGCACGGTGGAGATGAGGAGATTTCTGAACGAGCAGTTGTTTCGTGGAGGAGCCATTCCTGTTTCTTTGTCAGGTGGACTTGTTCGATGGGATTGGGAGTGTCTTCGAAAGCAGGTGGATCGAGTTGCTAGTGCCTCCGATACAAACTGCTGCTTTCCTCGCTGCTCCTCTTGCTTTCTACCCTCTGTTCTAATATTATAGGTCTAATCGATTCTGTTCCTCGCTCCATGGGACTGATAACAAAAAGATTTATACATAAAACTATTGTTATTTTAAAACCTCACCTTGGCCCTTATTATCTTAAAAGTTCCACCCCTACCGTCTCGTTTTTTGACTGTCTAGTAGGGACCCTACCCACACATTACCATCATTTTCTGTGACAATTTAACCCCCAGTATTCCTTTGTATGCTACCCCTACCCCCGAATGAGCGTGAAACGGCATATCCTCGTACACCGTCATGTCGTGATGACATCGCAAAATTACAAGTTGTACCAGCCTGAAAGTGTTGGGAGGTCATCAGGGGTGGGGTAGAGGTTGAAACGTTCTCTTTCTACGGGTGGGTGGTAGACATGTGTGTAACGTGACCAAACTGGTCGTTGTGATCTTGCAGCTGAACTCGTGTCTGTGTTTCCTAAATTAATTTACGTCAAAGTCAAAAAGACTTTTTTTCGTTATATATGTATACCCGGGGGTCTCATCATAGTGCGCAACAAACAAAACGTTGTGTTTCAATAATCTTTTATGCTGCATGTAGGGTCTCGTGTTCGTGTCCTTATCTGAAGATATCTTTTTTTATCAAAAACCCTTTTACTTCCATGCAAATAAAAAATCCCACCCACCTCACCGTACCCCACCCACCCCTGCACCAAGATCCCCTGCCGTCAGGGATTTTCCATGGACAAAACACCCCCACCCCTCACAACAAGGGAAAAAGTGACGGTCAAATATAGGTACGTAAGAATGCGACGAACAACCCCTACCCCACCATTGTGAACTTCCCAGCTCTTTCCGTAGGTTGACCTTGTTAAGCCAGGGCCCCGGGGTGGGGGGCGCTGGGGCCGGGGGACTGTTTTGCCCGACTACGCCTACGACCACTACTCCGGTCCTTGGGTCGCATCCGGTACAATGACGTTACAATCGTTTCCTATATTACGGTTAAACCGTTACTTGATCACGGAAGGTCACTCTGGAATGGCGCGGACGCTGGTTGTGCGTGCAGCGGGCGCTGCGATTCTTGGGGCCTTAGTGTGCCTCATTGCCTTGGAGAGAGCCGGAGAAGCAAACACCTTTGCCCTTGCCGATGCTGATGGCCTCACGGGTAAGGATGACATTGTGGCTCCGTTGATTCATTCTTGCAATGAGTAATCTTTTCCTTTGCAGTCCGAGAACCCAACGGGGATGAGATTGAGATGAACCATCCTGGATGGCAGCAGTGGATCGATAACGTCAAAGAGTCAGGTGCTGACAGGGAGCTGCGGATGTACGAGGTTCAGGATGGAGAGTTGACAGTGAGGGAGCCCAATGGAGACGTGATTGAGATGAATCATCCAGGATGGAAGGATTGGATCAGCCATGTTGAAGACTCTGGTGCAGACAGGGAGCTTGGAATACACGAAGTGCAGAAGGGAGACGTGACGGTGCGGGAGCCCAACGGGGACATGATAGATATGGACGCCCCTGGATGGAAGGGGTGGATACGTGGGATGGAGGGATCGACCGAGAATAGCGCACTTCCAGACAATTGAAGACAGGCTATTGGACTAGCTATGCAAGCACAAGGCTGAAATCAGATTTCCCTTCAGGAAATGATCGTAACTCTTCGAGTTGACCTCGTTCTAAGCTCCGAACCCCTCTTCAGAAACTGATAACGTCTGACTGTAAAGACTGACCACATGCAGTGGATACCGGAGGTAATCTGATGGTGGTGTGTGCGACTGTGGAACCTGCAAAATCCAGCATTGCATATTGTTTCTTAAATCACATGAATTCAATTTGTACAAACAACTACAGTATGAACTCAATTTGTATAAACGATGATCTTGAATCCGATTACGGTGTCTAAGATGCAGTGTCGATCTCGTCCAAGATGCAGTGTCGATCACGATAGCTAGCGCCTCCGTGCAACTTTTGCATTCGAACTCTTCAAGTTCGAAATATGGACATGCAGATTTCACCTCATTTGCATTTTACTGCAAGCCCCTTATCAATTATTTCTGAATCTTGAAAACTCATCGCTTCCATTCATCCACCGGCGTTTTCAATGGAAGGTCAGGTGAGCTTGACGCAGTTTCCTCTGTGGCACTTGACCTTTGTATTGTCGTTGTAGATCTTGGCACGCTCTGATCAGTCCTTCGGACAGTAATTCTTACATCGTCGTATCCATATCTGCGCACATACTATTTAGTCAGGCATGTAATGCACAACTTCTCAGAAAATCGACACTGGGGCGAGAAGACGAAAAATTCACCTCCCCGAGTTACTCTTTATCGCCGCCATCACATTCTGAGACACAGTATCTCAGCAATTTTCAAGCATTGCACTGAGGCGGCACCTCAAAATCCATGGAACCGCACGGAATCATCGTTCGCTTCCAGTTGCTGAACAGGGGACATTAGATTTCCTAGACTATGCCGTGAGAGCAGTTGTACGTGTTTGCAGCTCCACCGATCCCAATGATGGGCTTCGTTGTTGAGTCAAGTATGACTGCAGACGTTGCGACAAGCTGGAATCAGGCTCACAACTATGCTATCAAGTCACGTACACTTGCCTTGTCCCCAACCAGGATCTGACCATTCCGATCGGCGTTCCCACCAGACAGCTGACGATTGATTTAGTGTTGTGACAACATGCCCGACGTTAGGAGAACACGAGAACTCCTTCTTACAATCTCTTTGACAAACAAGCCCTTTGGCTGTCCTGCTTCGATCTCCTCGAACACGATACCAAGAGGAGTCTTCAATGTAACAGTGACATCTGCACGAAGAGTTCTGGAGCAAACAAGAAAAAGTCATTCCACGACGAGCCCGACGAAGAGCAACTTGAGAACCTCCATATCCCCAACCTCCTCAACGAACGTGTGCTCGAGGCTTCTCGTGCAAGGTGAAACTTCGGGGATACGGAAAATCCTTGGGAGGGAGCGCAGATCCAGGACAGGAAGAGGAGAGAAAGCGTGAAAAAATTCTGTGAGAGGAGAAGAGGAGATAAGCTTGCTAGAACCCCGCCTCGCACGCCTCGTCTATGTTCTTTGCGCATTTCCCGGTCCGACAGTCCGGTTTATATCTGGGTTTATATCAAGATCATTGGATGGTCCACCAACTTTACTGGTTAACACAAATTAAACCGGTCAGCCGGTTTTCGCGGCATTTCTGAGCAACCTGTGTCGTCGCAGGCAAAGATTTTATGGCTACGGCGTGAAGAAGTGAAGGCGCTGGAGTAGGAGGAGAAGAAGAAGCTGGAGGAAGAGGAGATGTGAGATCAGGAGAACCAGATGAGGAAAGATGAGACTCACGCGACAGACTTAGAGGGGGGTTTTCAATCGAGATTATGCCTCTTGACCACTGCGCTGCTTCGTTCCTGCAATGTCTCCCCGGTTCTTGCTCTCTTCTACTGAAATATTTCGATGGAATATGCTTAATCTACATTGTCTACGACTTCATCTGTTGTAACCCCCAGTTTACCCTTGTTTCTTTTGTCAATCACTTCGATTTCCCCCGCATTCTCCTTCCGTCAGCCCTTCTAACTTCAGTTACCTAATTGAGCAGGCTGATGTATAACAACACACCAAAAGCGAGATATTGCTGAAACGATTTGTCGAACGTTTCATACCCTCGAGTCCATCGATCCACATCAACGACTGAATGCATGGGAGATAAGGACAGCTCCCAGATCGATATCCTGAAGAAGGCCCTGAAGACCCAGCGAACAGAAGCGTTGAGCCGGGAGCAGGAGCTCCAGAAACAACTCTCAGGGCTATGGCAGGTCAACATCTTGCATGCTAGTGCTCGATCATGTGCATGATGGTTGGAACCGCAGAGAGCGGACAAGGAGAGGAAGATGCTGATGAGCCAAGTGACGCAGCTCAAGAACGAGCTGAAAGCTTCCTCGCCCAAGACTTTGTTCAATGATGTCACTTCTCGGCTTTCTGAGCTGAAAGCCACTGTCAGCAACATAAGAGATGGATCCCCACTCTCCGGTAAAGTCTCCTCCCATTTCTCCCCCAATGACTCTCTCAATTCTTTGCTGATGACATCATCTGCAGAAAAGGGCCTGTGGTCCTTCGATTCGGATGGAGAGCCCCTGAGTGAAGAGCAAAGGTCTGAAGGAGCAGCGTACTCTTATGGCTCAGGTGGAGCCTTGGAATATCGATATGAGGCGATACTGAGTAGGTAGAGAAGATGCAGTCGGAATGGGAGAAGGCGAAGCCAAGTATCGCATCAAAGGTCTGGAGGCGAAAGTTGCGGCGCAGCAGGATGAGATAAGGGAGCTGCGAGCACTGCTGACAGAAGTTTGCTCTTATGGTTTGCAAGATGTTTGGATTGAATCTGCATGACAGAGAGATACCGCTGTGTCCAAGCTACAGCAGAGGAATGGATTGCTATCAGCAACGCTAGAAGAGAAGGAGAACGAAATCGCTGCCTTGGAGTCAAGACTGAACAAGCTTAAGAGACGGTGGTGCAGTTCTCGTCCGGATGTCGCTTCTCACGTAGATTCTCTTTGGCAGGCTGACCGAGTCAGACTCGTTCGCCCCTCGCGCTTGGGTTGTGAAGGAGGCAGTAAAGGGAGGGTACGGACTGGAAGCTGCCGGATTAATCTCCTCACCCGCCTCCTTGAACGAGAACTGGGTTGATGTTGGAGCATTTCTAGCGTTTGGACTCTCCTGAGAGCTTGACAGGCTGAGTCGGAGGATGTTGCCATGATCCCAGCGCACGAAGAATTCGTCGCAAAGATGAAAGACAAGTCAGCCGCACCGCTGCTGGGGATGGTGGAAAGCTTCATCAAAGCCTTCATCAATAAGAATCCAAAGGCAACCTAGACAGCGCTTCAAGGCACCAGAGTGACGTGAGTACTACTTTGCAGATGACCGACTTTGGTATGGTGCATAACTTTCTTGGCGCGATGGAAAACCCGTTCAAGACCCACAAGGTCGAGAGTCTGAGGTGTGTTAGTAAGAAAGGTGTTCTGACGAATCCCATCAACAGCTCTGGAAAGGTGCTGACGATGAAGACGTACAAGAAACCCTGGACGCGCTGGAAGCCTACATCCTTGGAGATGAACAGGTAGGGGACTCCTGCTGCTTTGAGCGCGTAAGGGGGGGGTGCAGGTCTTCAACTCCATTTTCAAGAATGTCGGGGAGCCGTGGGAGAGGCGCGATCACAACCTCTCCAAGAGGATGTTCTGTCTGCAGTTTGTCAAGGCCGAGGTCTGTGCTTGCGTTTGGTTGACAGTTGAGGTGATGACGTTTGAAGAACCTGGACATCAAGAAGATCCATCAGAACCATCCGGCTCTCACTTTGGCGAGAAAGATGATTCATCAGATTGATGAGGTACTCTTGTCTTGCCGGTGCAAGAAGTGATCTTACTCTCCTCCTCTCTTCCTCTCCTCTTGTGCCATCCTGTGCAGGTTCGCGCTCCGCAAGAGAAGATTGAGTGCGTATTCAGAGCAGCGAGGATCATTTACAGGATGTTGAATGAGACGAGCGGGGAGTCCGCATCTGCAGATGACTTCCTTCCGGTGCTCTCCCCCCACCACCATCCCAGCAGTTTCCGCTGATCCTCTCCTCAGATTCTCATCTTCGTCGTTCTCCGATCGCAAGCCTCCCGTCTCTACAGCTCCTTGGATTACATGGCCCAGTTCCGCAGGCCTTCAAGGCTCTCTGGCGAGCGCCACTACTACCTTGTTCAGCTGCAGGTGAGTGTTTCAACTCTCCTGCCCCCAGCTCGGTGAGAGCTGCTTGTAGACTGCCGTGGCCTTCATCGATCACATGGACGCGGCATCGATCACGATTAACCCGGAGGAGTTCGAGGTCAAGTACAAGAGCAGGGAGCGGGAGTGGGAGGAGAGGGGAGGGCAAGTCACCATCGTCAGTGAGAGTGTCTCCGATCCACGGGCTTGAGGCGGCTGCCAGAAACCGGCGGAGCCCAGTGGCCTAGGCTACCGTACACTGGCCGCGCGTCACCTCCAACTCGGGCAGAACTTAGTCACCTGTCGGGCCCGGGGCCAGCGGCGGCCGCTCGACGGTCCGAGATGGGTTCATCCGGCGGGCCGTCGACAACAGTGGAGGCTGCGCCACCGGCCACCGTGTCCGATCATCAAGTCACGAGTCGGCCGGCCGCGGCGGCCGGCGCAGCGGCCGCGCTGGCAGTGTGCCAGGCTCAGCGGCTGCTCACTGAAAGTTTGGCACTGAATAAAGATGGACTCCCGACTCAGTCCAAACGTCACGGCGTGGCGCGGCTAGCCCGGTACCCTCAAGTTGTGACCCGGCCCTGCCAGACTCTGACTCGGCTGCCGCACTGGGCCACTGAGTCACCGTCACACTGTATGAGAGCTTCGGCCACAGTACCGGAGAACTTGGACTCTGAATGAAGCCGGAGTATTAAAACTCTCTCGCTAACTTGTTAGGCTCCCGGAGCCCGAGACGCGGGCCGGGCAGCCGCCTGCGGCCGCGGTCACCGCTTTCCGGGCCGGGCACTCCGACTCAGGCCGCTTACGGTAAGTTGGTCAACGTAGACCTCATCCCCGCTTCTGCCCTTTGCTCACTTTTTTGTGAAACGGTTATGAAACAGTACGAAAAGGTAGGGTAGTCGACGTTCCAAAATGAAATTTCAGGGTAGGGTTGTCTCTATACCCTCCATTTGATTGAAAATATGTGTTAAATGGAGGGGTACATTTGAGTTGGTGAGGGGTGGGGTGTCATCGTTCCCTTGATCTCCTCGAGGTAGGTTGCATATTTGAACAAATTTTCTTTTTTATTTTTTTGTGCTGCATTCGATCAAGGGAGGTGGGGGTACTCAGTATGGCACAGGCTGAGGGGGTGGCCTCAGAACAATTAAAGGCTAACCCACCCTAGACCCTAGTATATGATGGCATGTAGGGGGTTAATCATATTCCCGAGGGGTAGGAGTTGAAGTGGGGTCTTGTAAGATCATTCGAGGTAGGGTAGTATACCCCTACCCATTTATTACCTCGACACTGGTGGAAAAATAAGGGTGTGGAAAAACATGAATATTGCAATTCAGATACCCCAGCGCAATCCTTGAAATGAAGGGGTTCCCCTATAACCCCCTACCCCTTTTCTTCCTTCATATTCAGGGGTGCTTGTACCTTTAATAGTTAGGTAAATTTTCTCGGGTTGTCGTTCTTTCTTGTTCTACCGCCGCCCTTATGCAGCCGCACGCGCAAGCAGAGGCCGCCGCTTCCATGTCCTCCCCCCCGGAGCGGCCCCCCTCCTCCTCCCTTTTCTCTTACCCATCTCAACATTCTCTCCTGATCCCTGTGTCCATACCCCACAGCCCCTTGGCTAGACCAGGAGGCAGCGCGTTACGGAGACGATGCGCTCGCATGCTAGTTGCAATGGCCTCCTCGCTCCTCCTGCTCCCGACCGCGCTATCTTCAGCTCCTTTGCCATGCTTCATGCAGAGCAAATCTCCTCTTCTCAGCTTGATGCAGTTTGACTCCTGCCTGTCTTTCGCCTCCAAAGCCGAGACTCTCACGCTTCGCGGTGGTGGGAACAATGGCGTGAGGGTCAGTCGGAATGGCGCGAGCATGAGCTTCGTTGCAAACAATGGCGCGAAGTCCGAGAAAGCTGGCAAAGGCTCAGATCCTGCAGTGATCAGTGCTGATGAGGCTGGTAAGAAGAATGTAACCCTCAATGTTGATATGCACAAGATAGAAGCGCTCAGGAAACTGGGCGCTTCCCTGCGCATCGGAGGCCCTGGAACAAGTCGCAGGAAGTTCAAGAATGTGCGCGCTATGAGCGACAAGGCCGAGGACGCGATGTTCCAGGGAACTCTCAGGAAGCTGGGTATCAACCAAGTTCCTGATATTAAGGAAGTTCAGTTTGTCAAGGAAGACGGAACTTGCATGGTGTTTTCAAACCCGCGCGTGCTTGCTAACATCGGCAGCAACACTTTTGTGTGCCAGGGAGGATACGAGACTGTAAGACCGCAAGGCCTTCCTGACGAGATCGCAAAGATAATCGAGAAGAACGGGATTGATGTCGAACGGCTCCGTAAGATTGCCAACAATGCAATCAGCTCCAAGTTGCACCCAGCAGAAGAGTCAGCGTCTATGAACCAAACAATTGCCGGGGAAGGGGTTCAGGATGCACATGTTGATACGAAGAAAGATGAAGAGCAAGACAAAGATGGAGATACTGCGAATGAGCAGCAAGAAGCCGCCGCCAGTCCGGCTGGTGCTGCGGAAGAGAACAACGATAGCCCTGTGGAGGAAGGGAAATCGGTTGCTGCAAATGAGGAGGATGGGGAACAGCAAGTGGAAGAATGTTAAATTCCGTGCGTCCTTTCTTGATGTAAATCTTCATGGTCATGTTGATCGGTACACGTCAAACCCTGTGAAGTATTTTACTCCAGCTAGCAATAAAGCGCGAGCCTCGCAGCCGCTGCTCTGGGTTGGAAGGTCTGAGACTGAGGAGTGCGCAGCAGGAGAAGCTATGGAAGCGTGAGAGGGGTGGAAGGCGAGAAGGGTCGTTGACGGAGGATCGGGAATCAGGAAGGGGGTGGGGACTGAGGAGGGGGACGAAAGGGGGCACAGGGAGGAGAAGGTCATCCCAGATGCTTCTCGTCCATGCCGAAGTAGAGGGGTTCGTCCGGAGGCCCAGCATGCCCGAAGTAGGGGGAGAGGGCGATGCTGCTGGCGTTGAAGCCCTTGTCCAGCAGGTCCATGCTGACTGTTCGATAGTTGAGCTGCTGCAGGAGCTTCGCATCGTCCTCCCTGACTGTCACCCCGGACCTGCCGATGTTGGAGATCCTTGAGACGGCAGGAGCGACCATGTGGGGCGTGCAGGAGGGCTGGCAGGGGAGGAGCTGCCGCGTCTGGATGAGGTGGTAGATGCTCCAGTCCCAGCCGTCTCGGAAGTCGAGGAAGTCACTGTTGAGGATGGAATGGAAGACGCTGCGGTTGAAGGCGAGGCCCGTGTTGACGAACCACTTCACCCTGCACGCCTTCCTCTCGTCCTCCTCCTTCTCCTCCCGCTCGCAGCCGAACTTGAGGTAGACCCCCCAGCAGCCGTCGCAGCGATCGCGAATCTTCAGCAGAGCTTGCAGCGTCAGGAGAGCGTCCGGGGTGGGCACGTGGTCTTCCTCGAGGAGCAGGACGTCTCGCTTGTAGTCGCTGAGCTCGGGGAGCATTGAGAAGACAGCGCGGAGGAGGAAGATCCAGTGCTCCTTAATGACCAGCACGCCGTCCGAGCCCCTTCCCCCGACGCCTCCGATGGCTGGCTCGGTGGAGGGATGGAAGAAAATTCGGAGGGTGCAGAAGTCGACGGAGAGGAGCACGTCGAAGATCTCCTGTGAGGGCTTGTCGAGGCTGACGATCAGAAGCACGTCGTGAATGCCTCGCACCCTCCGCAGAGCGTTGAGGACGGAAGAAAGATAGTTGGGCCTGTCGTAGACGTACATGGCGATGGGAATGAAGAAGTTCTTCCCCCCCTTCCATGAGAAGCTGGTCGGCAGCTTGTTGAAGATGTATGGGGAATGCTGATTCCAGATCTCCTGCAGGTAGCGGTGAGGAGAGGAGGAGAAAGAAAGTAGAGAAAGAGGAGGAGCAGTGGAAGAGAGGAGAATAGGAGAGGAGGAGAGGCTAGCCGAGGAGGAAGGGAGAAAGCAGAAGATTATAGACACGCGAGGAGAACTACACGGAGAAGCAAGAGGTACCTGAAGCGCCCGCAGGGGACGGTTTCTTTCTTCTTGCTCATTCAACTGAGACGGGCAGAACTGCTGGATGACTCTCTTGAGCATGGCCTGGTCACGTCCTCGGGTCAGGCTGGAGCAGGAGCGAGCAGGAGCACCTTGCTCTTGGAGTGGTCGACGGTCTTCCTGCCCGCCACCTCCAGGCTCTTCCGCTCGCTGCTCCTCCTCAGCGAGTCCTGCAAGGTCGAGATGCTCAACTTGTCGTGAAGAATCCTGCTCTGCAGCGGTCAAATCCAAAATCGAGGGAAGTAGACGGGGAGGAGAGAAGAGAGAGGAGGAGGAGAGAAGAGAGAGGAGGAGAGAAGAGAGAAGAGAAGGGGACAGGTAGGGAGGGGAGGACAGGGGAGGAGGGTAATGGGAGAGCGAAGAGAAAGTATAGCATATCGATGTGATTGAGAACCTCACAGAGAAACAGGATGGAAAAAACTTCACCTGCCCACGTTTGTCCTCAAATCTTCTCTTCCAGCCTATCCGTTGCGGTGGTCAAGAGTCTGCAAGTACACGTGTTTCACCTTACCCATCGCCCGAGAATCTCTTTGTATGAGTTGTCGACAAGTCGAATCGCGTCAAGGGTTGTGCTGTTGAAGCAATCTCCATAACCCTCTCTCACTGCCATAATTGAAGAAATCTCACGTGATAGTTCGATTCGACAGACCGATCACTTCGTGCGAAGTGGCTTCTTTGACAAACACCACGAGCAATCTCTTGTACATCCAGAGAGGATAACCCTGAAGAATGTGTCGGTCAGGTCAGTATTCCTTTGTCTCTTCTCCATCAATTTCACCATCATTCTTTATACAGTCGACTCAACCACCCTGTTTACCCACCTCCTCTTCCTCTTTAGCATGAACAGCATCATCTCCATCTCCATCTCCATCTCCATCTCCATCTCCTCCTCCTCCTCCTCCTCCTCCTCCTCCTCCTCCTCATCATCATCATCATCATCATCAACCCTCCCCTTCCTCGTCGTCGTCGTCGTCGTCGTCGTCGTCGTCGTCGTCGTCGTCGTCATCATCATCATCATCATCATCAACCCCCCCCTTCCTCCTCGTCATCATCATCATCATCATCATCATCATCATCTACAACCTTTGAGTCTGGACATCTGCCAACAGTGGAAGAGCTTGACTGGCTCGTCAGGAGTCGAGGCATCTCATCGAGACATCTCGAGTGTTGGATCATGTCGGACAGAGAGTGTATCAGCTGTTCTCTGACGCTCTGCTCGGAACTCCTCCTGAGTCACAGCTGTCAGTCTCCTTGCTTCCTCTTTGTCAAGATACTTCTTCATCGTCTTGAACTCGTCGCTGTCCTTCAGCAGCTGTTCAAGGCCCTCGACGTCCATGTCGCCCACTAGCAGGTGGTCTGTGTAGCTTGCCAAGCCCCTGTGATGTGGTCAGTTTTGAGCGCATTACGATGGCGAAAATGAAAGAGAGAGGAGGGAGAGGAAGAAGAAGTTGGCAAGGGAGGACGGTGAGGAAAAGGAGGAGGAGGAGGGGAAGTTGAAAAATCAAAGAGCACAGCAAAAGCATTGCAACAAGTTCGAACCCAGGATCAGCTTCTCTTCTCAGAATCGTGAGATAAGCGTGCTTCACATGATCTTCGATGCTCGCCCTCATCTCTTGGATCCCCTGAAGGTATCAAACCTCCCCATCAGCTCCTTGACGCCTCCACCAGCTCGCCGCTCACCTTCCTCATCTCCTCCTCATCTCCCTTTCTGCCTCTTGATCTCCCTCCCATCAGTTGCCCCTGGCGTGCCCACCACCATTATCAGCCATCCCAGCATCGCTTGTATATGCAGCAACTACCATCAACTCTGCAGCATCAACCCCAAACATGACGAGCAGGTAAGAAACTCCTGCAGCCGACACTCTCAGTCCTGCCCCTCAACGTCTTCCGCTACCTCCACAGAGCCTCCCTCCTTGACCACAGGCGATCCTGTTGAGCCCGTCCTCCCTGGAGCAGGTGGGAGAGAGGACACGAGGAACGGATCCGTCCGATAGGCAGAAGAACAACTTCTTGTCATGCAGGCAGACCTCACCCGGGCCTCTGCCGCCGTGGCGCTCGCAGGCTCTCGCTCCTCCCTCTGCAAACTTCACGCAGTCAAGCTCTCCTCCTGGCAGTAGCAGAAGAGGTACGTTGTGTCTCCTAACACCTGAGATCGCCCTGGGATCGAGCAGCTCCTGTGACAGCCTGAGGTCCTCCGACCCGTCCAGACCCTCAACAATCCTCCTCGCCATCATCAGCGCTACTGCTGCCAGACCCCGACACACGACCCTCTCTGCAGCGGATGGCACTGCTGCTGGGGAGGAACAGGCTGAAAGCTCAGGTCCGCTCCAGTTCCCACCTGGAAGCAACCACTGCGTCCAAGGGCACTGTCAACAAACCCGAACACACGCGAGCATGTGTACGTGCCTGGAGCAGGGGAGGAGGAAGAGGAGCTGCTTCTTCTACTTGCCTTGCGACCTCATCCCCATGGATGTCCTTGTAGGCCTGCATCACTTGCCCTGCCGCCGTGACCTGAAAGTGGAAACAACCGACGGCATCATGGAAAGAGGACGATGTCAAGGAGGGAGGAGGGAGGGAGGTGGGAGGGAAGGGGAAGGAAAAGGAAAGAAACTGGGGAGGGAGGAGGAGGAGGGAGGAGGGAGGAGGGAGGAAGCGGAGAGGGAGCGGAGAGGGAGGAGCGAGCGAGCGAGCGAAAGAGGAGGAAGAGGTTCGTTGACTTGGTTTACCAGGAGAGATGTTGGAGTCTTGACTCGTCGTGGATTTATAGTCTGAAAAGTCTTCCCCGTCACCTTCATATGAGCAAGTGCTTGTCACGATACCAGTACCGGCGCTTTCATAGCAACGTCTTCCTGTGAGGGAGTCATGGGAAGGTGCTTGGAGAGAAGAACATGACTCACCGCATGGCGAGGAGCAGGAGATAGCGTGCTGGTCAACAGCTGCTGCTTCTGACATTTTCAACCAGTCCGTCAAGTCCGTCAGGCCCTTACCGGAGGAGAGTTCCGCATGTTCCTGTCGTCGACCGACTCGCTCAATCTTGTCCACAGCCAAAGGTTGATCGTCAACACCAAAACGCTCCCTTGGTTGTTACAGGAAGTCACTAGTGATAGTTTTGAAAACTCGGCACTGGTGCCCTTCACAGCAAAAGCGATCATTACCTGCTATCAGTAGTGGGAGAATCTTCTTTGCAAGAGAATTGGATGAAGCATTGGATCTTCTCCTAGAGCTCCCTTGGACAGAGAGCATTCTTATTCCGATGGCTTCGGGCTCGGGGAGAAGACCAGTTCTCCGGTCTCACAGCGAAGCTAGAGATGGGGGGAAAGCCTTCCTCTGACGCCATGCATTCTCGCTCTTTGAAGACATGTGGATGGTATTATCACGTGATCGACAATATCATTCCCTTCTGCTTCCTCTCAGGCCTCATCTCCTTCTCATCGCAGCATCTTGAGCATGTTCTCTCTGCAGGCGAAAACATACAAGGGACTGGATAAGCGTGTTATTGCAGCCGGAGGCCCCGCCGGGCGGCGGCCCTCCGCCCGCCCGGCCGGGTTGGCGCTGGCAACTTGATTTGACTGATCGCTGAGTAAATGATCGCCGGCCGGGCGGCCCGACGCTCCGGTCCCGGCGAGGCCGATTGTTCGTCGGCCCTGAGTAAGGGCCTGACTCATTTTCACGGCCGTCGGACCGTGCCCCTGCAACACTGATGGCATGATTGCATGATGTGGCACAGTCGGATGATCGCATCATAAGTGGAGCCGCTGGAATAGCACTGCGATCACTCTAACTTAGGCGCATGCTCTTCGGAAGTTCCATGCCCAATTTTGCCGTTCGAGAAATTCTCGCTATGAAGTGATGATCAGGGGATCATCATGAAGTTACCACCGTACGGTACTGTTGCTCACCGGGTGTGTGGATCGCACTCTACTACTTCTGTTCCGCCGCTGCCACTGCTGCCACGGTTTAGAGTATTGTCGATGATTAACAGTGTTGTAAATATGATATCCATATGAGAACCCCAGGTGATGTTCTTGTCCCTGGACTCAGCGGCTATCGCTTAATTCTACTGCCCAGTTGAAGCGAAAGGTTGTTCGACACCTTCCGATGCTCAGATATGTTCGTGCTGGAATACAGCCAGCGACATAAGGAACCAAAAACATGAAAACCAAGTCATTACACTGATATGCTGCAACTATCACAGTTTATTGCACTTTAAACATTGTAACAAGCAGCAAGTTAACCTTGCGCGTCCATGATCCACCATACACTACACGGTACTGTCCAAGAAACAACTGCGAACAGACTGCTATCTTTCCAGGAAAGACGCTCACGTTCACTTCTTGATGGCCTCCTCGAGAACCTTGCGGTTCTGAGCAACCTCAGCGTTGCTGGACTCGTCGTACCTCATTCCGAAGGGATCCTCCATGCCCTCAGGGAACCAGTTGATCTTCTTCAACTCACCAGTGCCGGTCTCGTACACGCAGGCGTGGATGCGAGGAGTGCTGTAGGGCTGAGTGGGCTTGGTCATCTTGAGGCGGTTCTGCACAATGGCGAGCTGGTAGACGTTCATGCAGGACTCCATGACGTTGAGCTCGACGAGCTTCCTCTTGCGCTGCTCCTCGTCCGGAATGGCATCCAAGACGTCAGCGTGCGCACGGTAAACGTTGCGGACGTGGGAGATCCAGTTCTCGAGAGGGCTGGCATAGTTCTCCTTGTTGAGAGCGATGTTGATGCCCTCGCAGGAGTAGTGTCCGCAGACGATGATGTGCTGGACCTCCAAGTAGTCAACAGCGTACTGGAGGGCACTCATCAAGTTCACATCGAAGGGAAGCACGATGTTGGCCATGTTGCGGCAGACGAAGACTTCACCGGGCTCAGCACCGATGATCTCGTTAGCGGCAACACGGGAGTCAGCAGAGCCGATCCAGAAGACCTCGGGCTTGTGGACGCTTCCGAGCCTGTCGAAGAACTTGGGGTCCTTGGCCTTCTTTGCCTGAATCCACTTCTTGTTGGCTTCGAAGAGAGGAGCAACGATGTCTGCCTTGGACTGCATGCGAAGGCCACCAGCAACACTGGAGGTGCTGGAGCGGAGGCGGGGAGCAACCATGGCCTTGCCCATTGAGGCTCCGGGAGCAACAAAGGCGGAGACAGCATCGAAGCTGCAGGAAAGAGCAAGAGCTCCAGCAAGAATGATCTTGTGCATGGTCAGGTAAGAACTCGTGAAAGAGAGCAAGGAGCCGAGGATGCTTCGCGAGAAGGGAAGTACCGCAGAATGTTAATCACCGCATGGACCCTGGTTTAAGAAGGGGGCGGAGTGAGGGGGGCGATGCGTCGCGAACAATCGGTGGGAGGGGTAGGGGTACTGCTAGGGGGTGGTTTGGAGATCCCGCTGGGGTAAGGTCGTTGAGATAAGAAGGACATGGGGGGTGGAGGTGGGGGTAAAGGACAACATAGATTCTACAAAAGTACTTTGCAGCTACTGCAATTTAGAATTATTTTCAATTTAAGTAATTGTTTTGGTATATGTTTACTATGATATAATTAGTAAGTGAAAATATTCTGATTCATTCGCTGTTGTCGAACATCATCTTCAGGAACAATCAAGCGCTGTAAAGCAAGCCTACGGATCCTAGAAGTTTATATTATTTTTAAATGTATAATATTATATCTTTGTAACGTATTTTCGATTATCAAACTGGTAGTGCTGATACAATTCTTTCTTCAGAGTACAATGATTGTAACAATGTTCACAAATAGCCTAAAGTAATGGTACAAATAAAATAGATTTAGATTTACTTAATCGATCAAGGTCGATAATCTTCGACGACCAAAACCAGGTAGTTTTCATCGATTCTCTCACAAAAACTATGTACAACTATTATAAGTATAACAGTTGTTTAAGTTTTTTTAGAAGAACCCCACCCCACCGATCGATGACCTGTAAAACAACCCCACGATCGCATGGGTACTATAAGTATGCACTACCCACCCTTCTTATAACACCCACCCACCTCCAGGCAGCTATCTTTCTACAGCAGACCTTATTACCCTGTAAATTTGATCTTGAAGTACCCCCACCCCCTGTGGATCCAATCCAACACTCATAAAGGGGAAGACCCTTTGCTGGGTCAGTGAGCGGGTACGGGAAGGGTACTGAGCCAGCAAGTCCTGGTGAGGTACCGAAGGGGGTAGGTCGTGTAAACCAATTTGCTGAGTTCTTTCAACAGCCACATCCCCGCTCTGACACTACTCATTCAGCGCCTCTCAGTCTCTGCCTTCAACTCGAGTCCGCCCGGTAGAATCGGCGGCCTTGTTTCCGTTTCCCTTCCGTTTCCTATCAAAGTTTTAGTTAAGAATCAGTACCAGGACAAACTGTCAGTAGTCCAGGCCCCGGACCTTTGACGGCGGCGTTTTCTCCGGATGGCGGGCCCGATGACGGGACCTGCCATGTCGGATGCAGGGTGGCTTTTGTAATGACCAGCCAAGCAGAGAGAGCGGAGAGGGAGCAAGAAGCAGAGACTGCAGGAGACGAGTTGTGTGCCTCCTGCATGGAATTGGAGAACGGAGAGATGAATGGTCGAAAGAGCTGAGGGTGGTTTCGAAAGGATGGGTACATACACTTGGGAACCTCATCGCAGATGCTATTAGAATCAAGGGGAAGTGATGCGAGGCGCTCACTTAGAAACAAGAAGTTGAAAATGATTCTGGCAAGACAACTGGAAAGGGGTCGAGCTACTACAAGATGAGGCGACGAACAATACCCATGAGCGCGATGACTTGGTTCTTGTTGGAAAAGGACCACTTCCTGGAGTTTCTACCTTGAACTTCTTACGTTGAAGACCGTGAACGTCTGAATAGACCAGTGTCTAATCGTGCCAATGATCCACTGGCTCAATTTGAAAATGTCGCTCGGACGAATTGGTGTTTTACACAAAAAGGTCGACTCGACGACGACTTCACGTTGCTCCGAGAAGGGAGGGAAGTCAGAGACCTCACTAAAAAGTTGAAGAACAATCAAACTCTGGAGGCCAACGAAATTCTGATGTCAAGAACTGATGGGATCATATTGTAGTTCTTGCGACGTTCGTAACATTTTGACAAAACCAGTTATATTTGGACCTGGTCACAGAGTTCTTAATTATGGTGAGAATGGATGCAATGGCTGTCCAGCAGGTACAAGCTACTGACCATATTTTTGCACAAGTCCCCTGTCCATTCCGCATCATCTAGTAGTACGAGGCCCGCACGGCGAGCCCGGTTGAATGAGGGTAGGATCGATGAAAGTTGATAGCAAGCAATCAAGCGGCCTTACCGCTACCTGTCTTGCTTGCCGGGTTTTGACGGAACTAACACATAACTATATTTTGTGGTCGCCTAGCCGGCGGCTGGAGTCTTGAGAACCCTGAGCCGGGCTATCCGTGTTTGGCGGCTATAGCCTGTATGCTCTTTGAGTTTCAGAGCTGTCGGGCTCAGTCGGGGCGGAGGCTTCGAGTAGCAAACTTTCCGAGTCAGGGAGTCTGTAAGACAACGGCACTGCCTGACTCCTGAAGGTGGCTGGGCAACTGCCCGGGAGGCCGCGGCCGGGACTCCGGCCGACATGATCCCGTCACCAGCCTTTACTCAAAGATCAGCAAGTTAAAAATCACTGTACGAAGACAATCAGGACCGTAGAAGAGGCTTGACCCTGACACCGCAAGTTGTCGCGCAGGCCATACGGCGAGAAGAGAAGAGACAGCGAGATCGCCACAGGAGTCCAGCTGAGCCGAGCCTAGCCGCCCGGGCACCGTGTACGGGACTGAGTGACTAACGTTCCGCTGGGCCCGGGCGCGCCCGGTCTCTCAGCCTGGCAGTGACTGGCTACCGTACGGTACTAGTAGGCTGACCCGCCTTACCCGGCCGACTTGAACAGTCCGATCGGCCAACTGGCAACCCGGTGCCGCGGCCGCCGGAGCCCCCGCTCAGCTGGCGGACGGTGGGGGCGCCGGGCGGCGCCGGGGCCGGGCCTGGCCGCCGCTGAGCGGCCGCGCGCCGCGGCGAGTCCGACACGTCACTGCGTGACACTGGCCGCCGCTTGAGTACTAACTAGGCCGCTGTCACTGAGTCACGGTGGCCGGGCCGAGCCCGGGGGGCATGTTTTGAAAGACCTAGTCACAGGGTGAATGCGGCGGTTGTTGACGCTATGTATACGTGTACCGGATGCTCACGGCTGGTTGACTGTGCCAAACTCAAGGTGACGAGAGAAGGGGAGAAGAGAGCGGAAGAAACTAGCCTGACTGGGAGATGATCGCTTGAAGCTCGGATAGCAAGTCCGCCCTGGGAGGGAAGCAGACCGGTAACTGTTGACAGAGGGAAGTTAAGTAGCCGCAGCTGCATCGCGGTAGGGAATGGAATTTGGTTGCACTTGATTCCAGTCTGATCAAAGTCTGCACTGCTCCCAACCCACGGCTGACTCGCAATGTTTGATTTTCTCTCTGAAGTCTCCGAGGGCAGATAGCTTTCAATTCGTTCCAGCCGTCTATCATCTACTCTGTTAGGTGCTGAGACGGATTTCCACGTTCAAGGACGATGAGCAAGCTGTTGACGTACCTGCTGCTGATACACTTTCATCTCTCGTGCGGACTAGCACAAAGCGAGATCGTCGACGAGGTTCCTACCAGCGGATCTGTGAGACCGAACGAAACAATATGTTATGTGTTCGTCCTGGACGAAGCAAGGACCAGGGAGGTAGTGTTCTGGCAGGAACCGAAGCTTTACATCAGACTGGAACCGTGCCAGGGAGTTCCCCACACGAGGGTTTCGGTGAGTGGATGTCCGAATCAAGGGTCTGCTGTCAACTGGGACTTCCAGAGCAGCCTGATGAGGAATGACTTGATGGTGCAAGGGTCTCCCGTCCCTCCTGCCTGGGAGTGGCCCGGGGATACGGAGGCTCTAGACATCGAGCTGTCATACCGTCGAGTCTTTGTGGAGATATCTCAATACTACAAACCCCTCAAGGTCGTTGCAGACTTGTTCGACTTGCAACAGGAGCTGCTTGCTAGAAATTTCACGGCGGATGCAGATGTTGTTGCGTCAATAGCCGAGGAGAAGATTTCGTCACAAGGAGGGATGATGTTTCTGGACCCCAATTTGACAGAAATCCTGAAGAAGATCCAGGCAAAGCTCATGCCACCTGCAAACTACTTCCTTACAGTCACTGTGCATGATGCTGCAAAGTTGACATCGCAAGATATTCATCCCATGTATAATTCCAAGAATTTCGACAAGAACATCACGTCCGATCTCTGGAAGACTCCTCTTGTGCGTTTCACTGATGCCGTACAGGCAAGATTGTATTACATCGTGTTTTGGCCCCCGACTGGATCCACTGTAAAGAATCTCACATCCTCGAATGTGACATCCAATATATCACAAGATCTCAGTAGTTTACGTAGAGACAACTCGCGGGTTGATGTTTCGAGCACTCCAAGTGTATCAAGTCATCAGGTGGAGGCAACAGATGCTGCTGTTACTGGCAGGCAAACATTGACGAGGGGAGCAGCGGTACATCCAGGCAGACTCGAAGAGGTCAGGAGTTTCAATGAGAAGATCACGGAGAGATTGCGAGAGACTGACGAGCAAATCAGAAGACTTCGAAACAAGAACATCCCTGCTGTGAACAAGAAACTCGATGAAACCACAAGTCCTCAGGATTCCATTCGATCGAGTCGACGTTCATTGAATATGACAGCGTTAGAGCGGGCAGCCATTCCCATCGTTCCAGAAGACATTGTTTACATGATCTTCTTCCTGGACATCACCACTGAATTCAAAGCAAGATGGGGCACAACGATGGATGCTGAGGGTCAAGTCAGGACTCGACTGATAGACAACCCTTGCGGTAGCTCTCAGAATGATTTTCAGAGGTCAGGAGAGCTGACATGTGGAGTGCTGCAGTGGATCACGAGGTTGGAATTTGACAAGCTTGACATCAATCGGAACGGATACCTCTCAAAGGACGAGTATGAGTTGCGCTACCCGAGCTATCTGCCACTCAAGGACAACGGGCTGAAGGGGGACTACACTTTCGAGAGTGCTGCAGAAAACTCGTCAGAGTGGGGGATATCTAAGGCAACCTGGGATGAACTTTACAGCGACGCCAACTCCGTAATGCTGGCCTCGATTAAAGATCCCCTCGTCCGCAATATGTGGACAGTCTGCGGGGTGAGAAAGTTTGGGATCCCTTTGGACCCCTTGGGGATCGCAGTGGCAAACAATAGCGCAGGGACTTGGCTGAGTACTCGTGATCTTTCGCAGTTCGAAGATGGAAGGCTGAGATACCCTGTTGGAGGCCTCAACGACTCGGACAACAACGTGTACATCCTGAATGTCCTCGCAAGGAATCTCAAGACGATGGAGGAGTTTGTTTACAACCCTCATGTGGTTCAGCGCAAAACTCCAGTCTACGTCGCTCCGCAGGTCAACGGGCCTCAAGTTGGGCTCATAGTAGGCGTTGCGCTGACGTCAGCCGCCATCGCGATCTTTGTCGTCGCAGCCATAGCAATGCAGACCAGTAAGAAAATGCGGCCGAGGCTTCGGATCAGGACAGAGAAAGCCGGCGCAAGGATCTGAAAGGAAGGATGAGGTGTCGAGTCAGAGCAGGCTGAGAGGGTGAAGAGCCAGGCGATGAAATGTGTCAGTGGGTATGACTCTCACTTTCAGAACCTGAATTTCTTATTCATTCTCCCCAATCCTGATTTGCGATAGAAGTGGAGGATGAAAAACGCAGGTCGCGCTGGGTTCATTTTGAATCATCTGTCTTGTTTCGGTCCGACGGAATCTCGTCTTTCTCAGTCATGCAAATGAATTTTTGATTATGTTTTGATTTCATTCTTTAATGTCACACGTACAAACAAAGTTTGCAGTAAAATATTTATGAGTCTCAAGTTGCTGAACTCATTTTGTAGTCTGTTACATCCAAGGCCACTGCCTGGCTCCTCCTGCCTGTCCTTTTATCTTCTCACCTCCCCTCGGTCCATTCTAGCACTCCCAAGTTCCTCCAGCGCAACCCTCTACGTCACATCTCCTCCCCACGCCCATCCTTCTCATCGCCTCCTATCTGCTCACGTGCATCATCGCCTCCTCCAGTAGCGATTCCGCGTCCAACCCCAACCGCCGTCCCAGCCACCCTGATCCCCTCGGCTCCTCTCCGACGCTGTCCTCTAGCTCCGCTGGCGTCTCGTCGAGGCTGGAGCTCTCCGGCGAGGCAGCGCCACGACATCCCTCCTTGTCCGCCTGCTGGTCTCCAGGCTGCAGCCTCTTGTACGGCCACTTGCCTACGCGCAGCCTCTTGCACGCGTTCTTGAGCGCCGTCAGAGAGATGCCCTGCAAGACCGCGCCGCCATGGTCAGAGAGCGCTCGTGAGAGGGAGAGAGGAGGGCGAGGGCGGCTTACCAGGGCGCGAGCAGCGTCGGGCTGTCGGAGGTGAAAAAGCGCACGGAGGGAGTGGACGGTGAGGACGACCTTGGGCTTTCGGTGCTGGAGGTGTTGGGAGGGGGTCCTGCGGGGAGAGACGAAGTGAGGGACGATGTGCTCGTCCATACTTGCGAACTGCATGATGTAGGCTAGTGTTGGGAGGTAGCAGGTAGAGTTAGGGAGCAAGGAACGCTGAAGGGGAGGGAGGTTTATTAGTAGGAACGGAACAGGCGCCCGATTTTGGCTACAACATATTTTAAAAGTGGTCACGGAGCCAGCTCTGTGCCAGGCTAGCCTTGTAGGGTCGTTCATGCAAGGGAGAGGGTCACAGATTCTATAAGTACCTCCTATAGGAATCATGACAAGGTTTATTTCAGGGCTCTCTGCCAACAATCAGTCACGTGGTTGACTGTTAGCATGTCATCGTTGATACGTGTAAGAATTTGCCTGTGTAACCAAGAGGTTTTTACTCCCACAGTCACGTCAGCAGTCACGTTTTCCTTTCCCAGATCCCTCGGGATTACCCGAACTTGAACACAGTGACAGGCCCAAGTCCTCGTGTTACTGATTTTTAACTCAACTTTGAGTAAACGATCTACGGCCCGGTGTCGCTCACAGTCTTAACTGAATCCCGATCGAACGGCCGGCACTGAGAGTTTCCTTGTTCAGTCACTCCTGCAAGATCTGGACGGCAGGTCTCCATATCCTCACTCGCGCGTTGCTCATCCAGTTGTTGATCTGCTTCAGCGAAACCCCCGTGAGTCGAACTAGATTCGCTTTCTCCGCTTCGCTGGGGTATGGGTTGTTGAAGTTGCGGACCTGCACGAGGCGGTCAGGTGAGAAGGAGAGGTATGCCAAGTGAAGACGCAGGAATGGCGGGTGGATAATGAAAAGAGGGGTTCAAGGGAGCTGGAGGTAGGAGTGGTAAAAGGTACCAGCCAGTCTTCGAGGATGCAAACAGCTTCTGGGTTGAGATGCCCTCTCTTGGTTGTCTTGGATGAATCTTCATTCCGTGAAAGCTTGACTTCTTGCTGCGCACACCTACAGCGACACTGTGAAACACCAACAACCTGTTAACGCTTCTCCCTGACCTTCCTTGCTCATTCTCGCACGCTTTTCCTTTGCTTTCAATGGCCCTGAAGACCGTCGGGAGGTCAGAGTTGCCAGGACAGCCGAGGACAACGGGGTAGAGCAGGGGTTTGAACGCACTTGTCAATGGCGGCGGACAGAGCTTGTTTCGCCGGGTTGTAAGCAGCCATCGCCACGTTCGCTGCAGCCTTGAACTCTTCCTCGCACACAGGAGTGTCAGCAGACAGGGCTGATACCATCATCCTCAGTGTCTTCACTGATTGGTGCTCGAGCGCCCTCAGCTGCCGCAGCTCGACCTCTGCCTGCGCGCCACTGATGAGGAGGAGAGAAGAGAAGGAGATCAGAAAAGAGTCGAGAAGATGAGAGGAAAGGAGAGAAGTTGTATGCATTTCTACATCTTTGTTGAGATTTCTGGCTTTGCCAGAAAGATTCAGATTCTCTTTCTTGTCGTTGCCACACCTTACCAACAATTTACAATCGTGTGAGTCAAAATCACTGCAGACCTCTCATAAAGTAGGGACTGATTCTCCATCAACCATTGTCTATGACGTTGCTTGATCTGCATGTGCTGGGGTTAGAGGGGAAACTGCGTTATCTTCATCGGTGTCATTACCTTTGCTTGAATGATCTTGAAATACGCATTGGACCTGTGTTTTGCTATCACCGAGCGAAAGATTGAAATGCTTGAAAGTTCTCACCTCAGCTTGTCTGACAGCAGATTGCTTGTCTGCGTTTGAATCCATGACTTCTCGGTCAACTTCTCCAAGACTTTCCAACGAAGGCGTCAGAGTGCTTCTTCAGCCGATCAAGTCTTACTCTCATTAAGACGATCAAGACGTCGGATCCTCGCCTCACATCGCTTCAAAGCACTCTGTTCGTCCGCACCAGTTTCTTCCTGTTTCGACGACTCGGAAGACAGGAGTACGCTTTGCGCTTGAACTTGAAGTGTCTTGAAATGATCGTCACTGGCTTCAGCTGTCTCTACATTGACGTCTTCCTGCTTCCTCTCCTGCTTCGAATTCTCGGAACACAATGTCTGACAATGGACTGTCTTGATTGGAACAGACTTGCTCTTTGATAGGAAACTGAGCCTCCTCTCCTCGTCCGTAGTCGTGACTCGGTCGATCTTGCCCGCCACATCTTCGCTCTTCTCGACAACTTTCAGCATCTCTCGTTTGCCGTGCAGCTCCTGGTTCTTCTCTCTTCGTTCCATCACTCTCAGGCTCGTCCTCTTCTCCTGCTGCATCTCCCTCATCCCCGCCACTTCCACATCCATGCTCTCGCCAGCCTCAGCCATGCGGTGCAATCGGGTGGGCAGGAGGGACACGGTAACGGGTTACCGTATCGGTCCGTTTGACCACTCAGAGCTAATCGTAATCCATGATGAGTAAAATCCATGATGAGTAAAATCCATGATGAGTAAAATCCATGATGAGTAAAATCCATGATGAGTAAAATCCATGATGAGTAAAATCCATGATGAGTAAAATCCATGATGAGTAAAATCCATGATGAGTAAAATCGTAGCCAGTGGATATGAATTGAGACCTCATCAGTCATCAGCAACCCCTTCCTGCACCGACCGACGGGATTGTCTGCTAGCTGCTTCCAGATTCAGCCTTCTATCAGCATCTGCATGGACGAGCACATCGTCCCTCACTTCGTCTCTCCCCGCAGGACCCCCTCCCAACACCTCCAGCACCGTAAGCCCAAGGTCGTCCTCACCGTCCACTCCCTCCGTGCCCTTTTCCACCTCCGACAGCCCGACGCTGCTCGCGCCCTGGTAAGCCGCCCTCGCCCTTCTCTCTCCCTCTCACGAGCGCTCTCTGACCATGGCGGCGCGGTCTTGCAGGGCATCTCTCTGACGGCGCTCAAGAACGCGTGCAAGAGGCTGCGCGTAGGCAAGTGGCCGTACAAGAGGCTGCAGCCTGGAGACCAGCAGGCAGACAAGGAGGGATGTCGTGGCGCTGCCTCGCCGGAGAGCTCCAGCCTCGACGAGATGCCAGCGAAGCTAGAGGATAGCGTCGGAGAGGAGCCGAGGGGATCAGGGTGGCTGGGACGGCGGATGGGGTTGGACGCGGAATCGCTACTGGAGGAGGCGATGATGCACGTGAGCAGATAGGAGGCGATGAGAAGGATGGGCGTGGGGAGGAGATGTGACATAGAGATGGTTGCGCTGGAGGAACTTGGGAGTGCTAGAACGGACCGAGGGGAGGTGTTGTGTCCGCATGTCACGGACCGCACGTTTGTTGAGGGACGCGTTATCAGCACTCGGCCTCCTTTCTTAGATCCCCTTGCATGCGCAGCAAGTGTGGTGTTTGTATGCAATTTACTTCAAGTAACCTTAAAGACTTCTATCTTCCCGCTCTCTTTCTCCTCTCGTCCTTTTTTCACTCTTAGCGTCGCCAATCTCTTGGTGGTATATACAATTGAAGGTGAGAAGGTGAAAGAGGACGGGGAAGGAAAGGAAGAGGGCGGAGGAATCCGACTGTGGCCTCGTGATGTCGTCAACTAGATCTGTCCTTGATTGACCTGCATCGTTTTCAGTCGAGAGCCTCCTGCCATTGAGGCAGCGTTGCCGCAAATCTTTGAGAGCCCTAGCCCTTCACTGTCCATGCTGAGGAGGAGGTCAGCTCAGGTCCTGCCTCCACGTCCTTGTACTTCTCTGTCGGGCAGTCTCCATCCCCGCACGCTGAAGACCTTGGAGGATATGGAGAACTGAGACATGCATGACATGGGCGGCTTGCTGCTGGACCCTCCCGATCGATGTGGAACGAGCTCTATCGAGACTGAGCTGGAGAGAGGGCTGAGAGAGGACAACAGCAACTCGAGTCTTTATACGATGCTGAAGGGAGACCCATCAAGATAAAGTCAATTGGCCAGGCGCGCAGCAACTTCGCATGTTTTTCAGACCAAAGCTGAAGTTTTGGAGGCTAAAGTCCGGCAAGTCATGAAGTCTGGTAGGATTGAGTTGCAGCTTTGATATGAGAGTGAATGGACGCATTTTTTTTGCAGCGTGAAACAAGAACAAGAAGAACAAACGAGCAACAGACAAATAGAGCACAGATTGAATTCGTTGCAAAAGGAATCTTTCCGGACTAAAAAACGTTTCAACCAAGATATCTTGATAACCAAGAATGAATCTCGAAACACTCTTAGACAGAAGGTGGGATCATTGCTGGTGCATTTGCCTTCAGAGTGATGGTGGTCGTGACAGGTGAAGCAAGTGAAGCAAGCTCTCCAGGAGCCAAGGTTTGACAAAGGAAAGTGCGTCACCCAAATTACGTTGAACCCTAGCAGCGATCTCATTGCTCTGCCCACAGCATTCTCAGAAGCCGACGCGCAGTCTTGGCTACAACCTGTTCTCACCGCAAAGTCTTACCTTAGCATCATCAAGTTGCTCGGCTTCAAGCATCACATTGGTAAGGGCGCTGCACTGTTTGCCTTCACCGTGGGGGCTCGGTCGAACGCTACGGAAGGAGGTCAAGTCAGAATCGCACCTGCCATTCCTGCAGTTTTGTGAGGGATATCAGTTGCAGTTGAGCTCTGTGAGGGATATCAGTTGCAGTTGAGCTCTGTGAGGGATATCAGTTGCAGTTGAGCTCTGTGAGGGATATCAGTTGCAGTTGAGCTCTGTGAGGGATATCAGTTGCAGTTGAGCTCTGTGAGGTATATCAGTTGCAGATGAGCGATGTTGTTTGCGAGTTTAACGTGAAGCAATCTTGTAATGCGGCTTGGCATGTCTGGGCTCTCTGACGAGCAGCAGACTCTTCGACACTGACATGGAGGAAGCAAGTGGGAGGCGGAGGAATCCATCGGATCAGCTTGCTAGGATCAGATGCCAGTAGGAGAGGTTTAGGAAGCTTTTCTGCCAGAGGTCATTGAAAGATCGAGGTGTCGAAAAATGCTCTTCAGCTGGACCCTGCATGTTGGAGACATGGTGCATGGTGCAGCACAAGGATGCGACTTGGATCCGATGAAGTCTGCAGTGACAGGCTCCTTTAGCATCCGCCGAAAGGGAAGCGCACTACTGTGACGGAGGGCCCCTTCTAGGCCTTCCGTGGCTGCCATCATTGTGAGAGCTGGGTGAGAATTGGGAGGAAGAAGAGAAACAAAAGGGGGAACTATTTGCCAGACACCCATGTTTTACCCGCCAGATGCTGAGGGTAGGCAGGAAATCAACGACAATGTCCAACTCTCTGTTTCCAAATGCTTCCACGCGTCACAAGTGTGCAGTTTGAAAGTGGGGTTGGCATCAGCGGTGATCCCATGAACGATTTGTTCGAGATTTTATGCCAGGCAACCATCCATTGTTCGGCCAGTACCAAACTTTTCTTGCAAACTGGACGAGTTGAAGAAGCAGTCACAACTGAAAGCTTTGGAAGACCTCCAATAGAAGTCCGGCCATATAATCTCAAAAAGATCAACGTGAGTATATTAGAAATATTCTTGACAACACTTTACAAAGTTTGGGTTCGAGACGCTCTCTTTGTTTCAGCTTAAACACAAAAGGCTCGAATGAGGACGATCGGCTGATTTTCATTTTTGTGATTTGGTCATGCTTTCTACGAAGCAATGAGGTGGAAGAGGTACCAGAGGCTGCTCTTGGCATGATCGCATCCGTTCACACCAAGACAGGTACACTACAATGATCAGGTAGGTACCGGGGTTGCTGCTTCTCGCCACGAGGACGGCGCTTTGCATTCAGCGCCTTCTTGCCTGATGCTACTTTCTTTCGGTCGAACGTGTCCAAGGTCCTTCCAAACTTGTCGCAAACCGCCTGCCAAAACTTCATCTCAACCTCGCTTGCTTCATCGCTCAAATACACAACCGATCCCTTCGGTCTAAAAACAAACTCGGAGAGGTTTCTGTAAAAATGGTAGCCTTCGGTCAGGTTAGGGATCTCAAGGTCTTTTGGTAGCCCGATCCTTTCGCACATCATCTCTTGGATTTCTAGTTGCTGCAACATCCTATTGATGTTGCTCATAGACGACTTGCTGCTCATCAGTTCTTGATGGTCGGCTTTAGAGAGACTCTGTTCCAGCAAGGAACAGAGTTTAGAGAGACTCTGTTCCATCTTTTGTTCTTTCCAATCCACGTTATAAATCACTCTCTGGAACAGCAACTCAGGCAAACAACTGTTGGCACATGTACGGCTGATCATTCTTCAGCGCAACAAGAACTGAAACGTACCACACACCTCTGAGATGAGAACGATAGATGGGAATTGAGGTAGTCCTCTATTTTCTCCATCCCCAGGGTCTTTTGGCCCTCGAGCTCGAACTTCTCATAGTGATTTGCGGCTGCAAACAGGTGAATTTGCAAGAAGATACCGTCTCTCTCGTTGGGAGCCTTGTACCCCATGACGACTCGGGCCCAGGAACTCCCGGAGCTCTCGTACCAGCGCCATCGGCCTCACAGAGTCAAGGTTTTCGACCAGCCTGTGTGTCATCTCTGGCAGTGCGGCCTGGCCGATGATCCGAGGCATGCGGCCCGCCATCAGTGCTGCCGCGGCGACTCCGCCATCGTCGGACTCCACTGCCAGCTGGACAATGGTTGAGTCTTGTAGAGCCCAGTAAGCACTAGCCTGGTAGGCTTGAAGATTGGCATGCCGATCATCGGATCATTGAACATCGCCGCAAGTTAAGTTCCCTCCGAAAATCGGTCACCTTCACTTGACTGAACTTCGGAACTGGCCGGCCCCGGGCCACTGGTGGATCACTTTGAGATCTTTTGTTATAATTTCAAAGAGACAGCAACAATTTCAAAATTAATTCCAAATTTCCTCTTGACCCCAACAGTCATGGGCGAGAGGCACGCCTGGTATGGCTCAGGAGGGAATGGCAGGAAGAGGAGAGGAGAGGAGCGAGAAGCGTCTTCATGCTAGAAGTTCCAAGGTTGCGATTTTCTTACTGACAGAAACTTCCTGAGAGATCGGACATATGGCTCCATCTCATTGTCGCGCTATTCTCTGTCTCATAAACATGCTGCTGAGCTGTCAGCTCGTAAGATCAATGGACAGGTGAGCAACACACGCGTATCTAGCACCATCTCATCCCATGCAGGTTCACTCCCGACACGAAACTTCTGGTCGTGCAAGATGATGGTGGAGGCCTGGTAGTATCGGAGCTGAACACAACCACAGGTTTCCAATCTTGTATCCCACACCCGAATTTTCTTGATCTGCTTTCGCAGGGTTGCAAGTGCCAGTGGGATGTGAATTCCCACAATCTCTGACCTCATCTCTCTTCTCTTCTGATTCATACCGCAAGCGCCTTCTCGTTTCCAAGTCAGCCAACGGGGACGAGGAGT